TAGTTCCATAAGATTATCATCCTGTGAGTGCTTTACGTGCTTCTCCGGACAGCATCAGTGCAACTCCTTATGTGTGCGAAGCAATTTCTTCTTCATGACCAGAATACGACAGCATCTCTTCGAAATGTAATCTTTTCTGTCTAGACTGGATCCAATGGGTTTCACTTATTCTGATAGCCATTAGGTCGTGGCTTCTCGTTTCCACAGCCATTTGGTTGGTCCTCTCGGTCTCCCACATTTTTCGGACATTCCATGTACCTATATTGATTGTTGCTCTGGTGGTTGGAAGGGACATTGACCTCATGACTACCGAAGAATCTCGACTTTTACCATGAGGCATCACAATTCTAAATGAAGACCCTTCATCTCACAGGGAAAAGTTTAGATGACTTTAATAATGTTTTCTAGTTAGTGTTTTTTATCAGGGTTGTTTTCTGCGGGATGGGGTTGCTGACCCCATTTTCAAACCTCCTCTTTTACCTGGGCTTTGGACCGACAGTAACCCTAAACGGGCTACAGACGTAGTTATATCGACAATATTTTTTAAGTAATAAGTCTGCAAACTTGAACTATTAAGTTGATTGTTTGAAATGGTAATCTTTTTGATCTAGTTTAATAAGCAAACAATTTCCGGAACTTGAGCATAATCTATTTTAGCTTAAAGAGGTTCAGGGTTCACTTCATTTACCAAATAAACGTTTCTGTACTCGGCTTTGTATCGTACTGCTATTTGTAAGCTGAAACCTAGGAGCAAAAGGTCTAAGATTTGGCATCAGCATATGGATGCAGTGACTATTGAAATGTGTTATGTAGACTACCTGGTTAGGATACACACGATTATTGTTATCAATTGGTTAAGACTTCTGGCGTCACAGATGAGAGTCGGTCGCTACTGAGTAGATGCATTCAAACTTTCGTAAAACACTCACACCTTTCATCACACAGATTTATTTTTTCTTTCCGAATAATACTATGTCTAATCTTTTCTACTACCAGGTATGCTACTACTAATTCTAATACTCTGGCATTTGTCTTCATAATTTCATCTCGCTCTGTTGATGTAGTATGGTAACTTGCACAGATGCCTATATGTGTCAAGCTCCAAGTCGGCATTGATTAATTAATTGACTATGTTGCTTTTACGATGGCTTATGATACTGCCTGATTGCTAAACTTGATGGGGGTGGTGAACATCGTATATATTGGTCAAAAAACTAGTTATGTAAGCATAGTGTCACCAGTCAACGAATACTAATGCAATTAATCTAACAACTCTAGGTTTATATACTAAGCTTTAAGCCACATTAATTGTAGGAGGGCCAATTACACCTGCTACCTAACTGCCAAAAATGAAGTAGGTAAACCAGGGTTCTAACCTGCGACTTACTGGATTAGAATGAGATTCAATTGAAAATAAATTAAGGGAAATTTTAAGGATGGGAAAATGTTTTCTGAGATGCCTACAAATTGTAAAATAAAAATCCTTTAAACATTATTATTTCCAAACGGTTCTGTGACTATCAAATTATAACCGTTTATTTAAAATACATAGGATTATGAATTGTCTGACTGCAGTGTTTAAAAGCATAAGCTTAATTATATAATAATTATTATTAGTGGCTTTATTCAATATCATATTTTTGGTACAATATAGAATTCTCAACACAAGGTATTTCAACAAGTTTCTTTTGCAAAAAAAGAAAAATAGTGAGAGAAACTAGTAACTGCATACACACAAACATAAGTTAAGTAGATAAACTACCTGTAATTAAATGAAGTGTTTTTCAAGAAGATTTGATCCTGAACGTTTTCAATTAGAAATATGTTGAAAAATACAAGTTGTTGATTAAGTCAACTCTAACAACCTGTTCGTCACACGGCATATTTGTTAGATAAGGTGTTGTAGAGCTTTCGTATCTTTGCTTGAGCGCATGGGTTCTAATGTATTTACGTCTTGTTCTACCAGAAGATATGCAAGGAGAAATATATGAATGAAGTGGATAGTTAGTATCTAATAACACAACACCTGACAGGAGTTTGTAAGACTAGATGTCGATCTACAACCTTATTAATAAGGACCTCAAAAGATTCACCATACACCCTGCTAACTGCCTTCAGAACTCTCCTCAATACAGCAAAGGCTTTGCCCAAAAGCCTGGGAAAGAATAATGGAGAACAGTAAAGATTGGTAAGTAATATGGAAGAATCGAAAAATTGTAAGAGTAAATATCGAGTAGTGCCAAAATTATGTAAACTCTTTATTTAGTCAGTCAGATGGAACAACAGCAGCATGTAAGGTGCGTATTTTGCATTTGTAAGCAAACTGATACGGATCAATGTGAATTTTTAGTGGAGGCTGAGGTGGGAGTATCAATAATTTTTCCATTGTTTTGAGAAAAGGCGAAGTTGTTGCTATGGTTCTAAATTTCACATTCTAATCGCCAGATACTTTCTTAGGTATTGGGATTAACTTTATCTCTCGCCACATTCTCGGTATGAAATTAGTTGCGAATGATCTGTTAAAGACGCTCGTGAGTGGATAACACAGAACGTCAGCAAACTTTTTGCAAAGGAGGTTTGGAATTTCAATGAAGGCGATTTAAAGAGCTGCGTTTCTAGCCATAGAAATTCAGATAAATTCAACAAAATCTGTAAATCAAAATTAATGGTTCCATAGAATGTGTGATTAACAGAAATCAATCAACAGATTGCCTGGTAGAATGAAATATTAGAGAAGTATTTATAATTCTTAACTAGTTACAATATTCTTCCGCTAGTATGTAATTTGGAAATTGTTTCCTCTTAAAGGAACCTTGTTTTTTTCTAGCTATAAAAAACACTGAATAGAACTACTTAAATGTATTTCACTATAAACAAAAAATCAATAGGTGATGTTGGGTTACGAACAGTTGCTTGATACATTCCACAACATCAATGATTGCCTTAATTGTAATTTAACATTTTAGGTAATCATTTGGAATCCGATATCCATTGAGAATTAAAAATTAACAGATTTTAACTGCTGATTTTCGTGTTAGGTTGTTGGAGATAATCAGCAGGAAATCCTGGACCTAGGTGTTTTGCTAGTTGATACTTATCAACAACGTGTACCCTCAATCTTCAGAGAACTAGAGGCGACATCTCAGACTGTAAATTGAGTGACCTTTATTCGAATTCACAAAGGAGAGTCAGCTCCTTCGAAATCTCAGGTATATCTTGCCAGCGAGCACCAACTAGCAAGAAACCGACTACTTTCGACCACCTAGCTTCATAACACATCACATGATGTCAAGTAACATAGATTAATTATAATAGTGCAACTTGATCGACAGAATTCCATCATCACCCAAAACTAGGCAAACATGAAATTGGTTGTTGCCCAACAACCAAGTAATCCAGATAGTTTCAAATTGGAAAATCCAGTAGACGTAAAACAAGCGTTCAGGATTTTAGGAAAAACCAATAGAATCTGACTAACAACCAAGCTTACTCAAAACAAAGAACATAGCCAAAGTGGGATCTCTTCACAGTCAATTCACAGCGTAAAAATGACTAAACCTTGAAGAGTTAAAGCAGTTAAACACATGTCGATGCACGAATATAATTGGAAATTCAATACTTAAGTGTTAGTTTCACAACTCAAAACAACAAAAGGACTAAATAAAATATCAGTAGCAATGGAAAATAGTACGAAAATGAATTTGCCAGTAAAAATATGTGTACATACGAAACGACGCTAATTTATAGATAGGTGGAGTAGATTTAATAATAACCGTAAACTTGAAAGATTTTCTTCCTATTCAAGTGAAAAGCAGCATTAACTATAAAGCGAGTATTCTTGAAAACCATTCTATGGAAAATCTCAAATTTATGAATAAAACACTTACTACTCATAAGTAGAAAGCGGTAACTTTCAAAATATTATATGCATCAAACAACGCAAACCATCTCAAAGATGCCATGTTGTAGGATACCAAGCATACTTAACTTTTTGTCCAATAAAGCGCAAAAATACTGCTTAAGTGAGAATGAAATATTATACAATGCTGTTTTAGGACTTAAATTTGATTGGGATTGCTGTGGAGATACATTTACAAAGTCGTGGTAATCATGAGTGGCGAATAATAATAACCATTTCATAAACAGTACAATCAGTTCGCTCTATGTATTTAAATAAATCAAGGACAACAACTGATTCGGAATAAGAGAAGCTCATTCTTAGTTCATGGTCTCTTATCGGTTACTTACCACTGCGTATTCATACAAAAATAAAATAATATTAAGCAATAAACAGCGGCGACGGCAAAATTGAAATGACCAAGATTATCAGTACCGTATATATATATATATATATATATATATATATATATATATATATATATATATATATATATATATATATATATATATATATAAAAACATATGTAAGGTCATTTGAAGACATAGAAAGTATAAGGAGGGTGGGGTAAATGTTATCTAGAATCAGAAGTTTCATAAGATAAATTACGTAGTACTTATATATTTGAAGAATTAAGTCTTTTGTTTAGTTATTTTGAAGGACTAAAGAATATAAATAATATTCCTATCGGTTAAAAATAGGCTGATTGGGCTCTTTAGCGTTGTGTGAACTTTTAGTTCCAAATTCTCTGAAACATAGTCAGAAATATAAACATGTACACTTCTCTTTTGTTTCAATGTAAGTATTTGGCAAGTAGATGTAAACTGAAAATAATGGTTAAATGCATTGAGAAAAGAGGATTTGTCGACTTCCAATACGTCATCTGTTCTGATTAATCAGTCCTATAATTTCATTCCTAATGAAAACAAAATGTGAGGGGGTGGTTTCGAAAGGGCCTCAACTGTATGAGTTGATTATTCAAAAGCAAACTCCCGCATTGACAAATACCTTAACTATAGTGACTTAGTCACATAGTTGATAGACCAGTTACATTGGAAACATAAAGAATGCAACTATGACTGGTGAATAACAGTTATTAAATGGGCTTTATAGTAGATTAATATATCAATGTAACTTAAACTACAGTAGTTGGAATGTCTATCTTCTTGAATATGACAGGAATATAGTAAAGTGATGAAGTTAAGAAACGCAGTACACAGCGTAATCGAAGCAGATATGATCGTTTTACCATTGACAATTTTGAAACCAATAAGTTAAACAATAGAAAGCCACGTGCATATATATAAAATATCAGTAGTCACGTATACACAGTTTTCATATACATAATGCCACAGATCATCTACTTGTAAATTTTTAATTACTATAAGGCTCGAAGTTAAATATCAGTCTCAAAAAAACGTTAAAAGATTCCCTCAGCCTATTTTAACTTTGAGCATACGAAATCATGACGATTACAGCTCCTAACGAAGTTATCCAATAACTTTATGGTTATCGTACATAAACATGCGAGGCTCATCATCGTAACAATTCTAAATTGGAACATGTTCAACAAAATACAATTTTTACTGAGTAAAAATCTTGGTACAATACTCTTTTCAGGAGGAAAACAACACAAGGGAACATCTTACACAACACTAATTACGACTGCTTTTTAAGTGAAGAAATGAAACGATCAAGTTTATATACAATGTCTTGATAGTTTTTCAACAAGGTAGAAACTTCTTCATGCAGTTGACTTTCAAAATATTCGTCCGCAGCTTCATCAAATGCCTTTTTCAATGGATTATAAGAAGAAGGACCACTTGTTTTAGGTACCAAAGAAGACCCTCGCATAGCATCTGGTCGAACCCGCTGAATCGTATTTAAAAAACAAAATACAAGTGAATGAGGAGCTATGATATATGATTAAGTACATAATAACAACAATAATAATCATGCTCATTTGACGAAGAAGCTGTAAATTATAATAATGAAGTAAATAAGTATAAACAATACCATATAAGATGTTATTCGGTCTTATTTTTAACCGTCTATGGTTTTTATAACATCAGGCAAGGAATTTACAGAATATTAAATTTCAATTCAAATGCGTGCAAAATTACTAAATAACTTTTGTGAATTAGACTCTCGTTGGTACTTTGATCTTACTATACCATTGTGATACCGCGGGCAATAACCAACACTCATATTTGAAAGGTCGTCTAGAAAAAATAGTTTGGCAAATCTTACTAGACGGTGAATACTGAGGCAAGCTTTAGAATGATAAAACGAAATTTTTTACCAAACTAGACCGCTAGCATATTTAAAGACAGCTTTCATTAAAAGTTCATACGGGATACTTGAACTGTCTAATATGACATATAACACTCCTAATTCATGAAGGAAGCTGGCGTTTCTAAGTTTTTTATTTATCGTATTCGATTTGTGGTCTATAGCAATTTACATTTGAAGATCAAGTCAAATTCCAATACTAAATAGAAAGTGGGATCATGATGATTATTTAGTGTTTAAGTACTACACAATAAAATCATTATGAGGGATATTGAATAATGTGGTAGAGAGAACTCTTCGCTGAACTAATCTTTCTTTCTTATTTAATGTCATAATGGGTGTACTCCGTTTATTAAAAAATTTACAATTACTGAGTAAATCCAAGGCTTAAAAAAGTCATAATAGCTATAAAGTTCGTACTTGTTTTTGAAAGAAGCTTTGTTATATAAAACAACAACTTCATCATTAGCTACTCAATTTTCTGAAAGAATAGTAAACAGCTCTAAAATGGAAATTATCTTTATTGTTTAAATGGCTACAAAGTAAACATACCAAACTTTACGACAATTATACAAATCCTAATAATGTCTATTTATTGAGAAAAACCAAGTGATTGTAGTAAATAATTTGATATTATAGTGAACCATATCTATTTCATCATGAATACGTGGGATAACCATCATTAACGTTGAATTTACTCAAGGATGAGTTCAAATATACAAATACAATAATACAACATACCTGAAAGTATGCAGTGGCACGCTTAGTTAATGCGTCAGAAAAAGACTTTACATATTCATCTGTACGAGGCAACAAAAACAATCGAAGAATTTCATACACTCGTCGACTTTGACAACGATTTAGTTTTAACTTTGTCCTTGAAATTTCTCGGAAGCGTATTGCAGAAGACTTCTCACTAATAATTTGTCCGTTCACACAATTAGACTGTGTTATAGTTTGCATTACTTCTGGGGTTTCCAAGCACCGTTTGCAGTCCAATAAATCCCTAATACGCTGAAATTCAGGCGATGGGTCTTCAACTATAATAGAACGAATTAATAACATGTGAAAAGTTAGCACATTTCATTAAAAACAAAAAGCTGCCACTACTAAGGGTAAAATTAGATTATATCTATGCAAAACTAGTTGTTAATTTAATTCTTCTATTTTGTCTAAATATTTTAAGTCTGCATTATCAAACAAATGATTCAGAAACAAACTAAAATACTACAATTAAAAATGTTAATACTAAGCAGTACCCTCAAAATTATCAAGGACCAATCAAGCTAAGGATTGAAAGGCAGAATAGTCACATGTCTGATGGACTGTTGAACTGTTTGGTGACTCCACTCGATTGCCGATAATCTAACCTTTCTCTCGTGTTAAGATTCCACTGCTACTAGTTGCTATTCCATAAATATGTTTCCAGTTATTTTTAATGGCTTACGTTTCTAACCGAAAAGAAGTCCTATATAATTCAACTCAAGACACTAATTAGCTTGTACTTTATTTTGAACCATACTTTTTTATGTGAGGTAGTAGCGATACTACTCAACTGCCTTTACCGAAATAGGTGAAGAGAGGTTAGAACCTGAGATCTATTGGTTGAAACCCGAGTATTCTAAACACTAAACCATAGATTAACCTGTAAGCTTTGCTAGTCACGCACTGATGAGTTGACTTTACAACAATCATATTTACCTTGAATATATATTGTTAAGTTAAATAAGTTTTTTGGAAATAAGATGAACTAAGAATACTTGCTTTGTTCGTTAAAGTTACGAATCATGTGGCAGTTATGTAAAATGGTAGTCAGTCAGTCGGCTACAGCGTAGGACAGGGCACGTATATGCATCGGTTCAAGTTGCCATACCTCACTAGCACAGCAGGATAAAGACCGGATTCATAGAAGCAGTTAACTCAATGGTGGCAATATATAAAAGAAAGACTTGGTATGAGGATATAGTACAGGAGTCAGTCAGTCAGTCAACTACAACGTAGGACCAGGCACATATGTGCATCGGTCCAGGTTGCCATACCGCATCAGCACAATGAGATGAACACCGGGTTCATAGCAGTGGTTAGGTCAAAGGTGGTAATATATAAGAAAAAGATTGCATATAGAGATATAGTACAAGAAGAAAGAATTGATTCTTAGAAAGAAAGATATGAAGTGATTTTAATCTCTTAGTTTAAGGGAAGACAGGGAGTGTATACACCGACGCCATTGTGATCGACTCTGAGCCATGTCACCAAGAGTCTCCAACCATTGGTTACGAAAGTCACGCGGACCCCAACCAAGTAGTCTGCATCTACCAATGTGGCTACGACTAGAAGTTAGTGACTTTAAGCACTGATAATTATTAAAATGAATATAACTTAAGTACATAATATTCTACACTACTACTGATACTGTTACTATTTCTAATGCTTTGGAATTTATCTTTATACAAGTTTATCTTGTTGTGCTAATGTGATAATGGCAACTTGAATCGATACACATATATGTCAGGTACTACGTTGCGTATAACTGACTGAATTTAAGTGAGTGTAGTCGATGGTGTCGACGAATGAATCACATGAATATATATAATGACTGTTAAGTGCGAAATAACGACCTAAATTTGCACAAGTTTTGTCGATAACTCTGAATAATTTATCACACATCGTTTTTTAAAACTAGTTACGATGTTGTTTTTTTTATACAAATAATGATCTCACCTGCTATATCAATGACATTAGACATTGGTACAAAATCACGATAAAAAGTTTGTAAAAGTTGTGTAGCATGGCCATTGTTTCTAAAAGGTGGAAGGATCAGAACTTGGCTAACACGTGGTCGAAGATTTTTGGGATAAGCATAAAACTTATAAACTGTCATGTAACCAATAAATCCGTATTTAATTTTTCCGTCATCTGTTTGACCAATATTTTCATAACTAAAAAGACCGTTATTTAAGCAAAAACGATAATAAACTTGGTAATTTACATCACATAATAACACCACTGAATATCTTCCGTAGATATAGCAGATGCACCATCTATGAAGAAAAGAAGGAAAGATTCCATCCGTTTATGATATTCAAGGAATTTCTCAAATCCAGGCATACCATGCTCGATAAAAAAAACAGAAAACTTTTTTGGACATTTATCTGCAAAAAATTAATATTACTTATTGAGAAAATACCTTTCATAATTTGATAACTGTATCTGTTAACTCCGTATGGAGTGAAAGTAAACTTTTCATCGAAGTTTTTCAAAAAATCATTCAGGTTCTTACTGATGTTATATGGATAAACATCAGATAATATGTGCATAATATCGTCAGGCTAAAGTATGAAAGACAGAAATGAATTAATTACCGCAAGAAAAAGACTTACCATAACACCTTTGGATAGTTGAGGATCAACTTTTGATGTATAAGAAATATCTATATATGTTGATAGAAAGTCTGCTGTGTAAAATATGCCAACTTTGAGATCACGATATCCGAATATCTGTTCACTAAATAAACATTGTTTAGCAACACTGAAAGCTAATAGACCTTTCACCAAATATTTGGTGAGTGAACTCAGGATTGAATGTATCTACTGAATCGACAGTTTCCTTGTCCCTAACTTCATATGCAATTAAAGAGGTTATTGAACAAACCTAGTTTGAATTGGATGGCATCACAAGCATTCACACGATAGTCATCAAGACTTCTTGTATTTAAACTGTCCATTATATGGATACTGAGTTACTAAAAAGGATATGGAGAAATGAATTTATTGTTTAAAATTAATAATCGAAATGACCAATTAAGCTTGATAAAAACCACAATTTGATTTACAAATACAAATGAAACCATAGATTGTTAGACAAAATATCCTGGGTAAATGTGCTGTGAAATAGTTGAATGCATTGTATAAGATTGTTTGAAAAATATTTGACCTCTCAGTTTAGTGAATGAATTTGGTTTTACTACCCTCTCATCATTTATTTTCTATTCCATATTTTTGAAATAATTTAAATAATCGAGTTTTTATGACTACCATTGTATAAAAGTTATCTATCACGAATAATGGTTGTTGTGGATAATCACAAGTTATGAACATAAGTGATGCTTGTCTATCCTTATTCAACCACTGAAAAGTCCACTCAAATTACGAACAATTAACATGTTTGATAGATGTTGATTTTCTCAAATTCGAGAGTATAACACGCAAAAGATATTTGAACTTTGACTTTTAACCGAGTTACTTGATTTATATCAGGCTGAAATTTGTAGTCAGTCAAAAACTATCAACAGCACATAGTTTACACACTAATTAGATTGTATGGAATTTTAAGAGGGGAGCTTATTATTAGACAGTAGAGTGTTAACTGACCCTGAAATAAAATAACTTCTGAGGACTGAGAAAGCTGATATTTCATTATTCAATTTGCTGAGTGTCTAACTTGGAGAGCTAGACAGGATTTGTGGGCAATCAAATCTTTAGTTTGAACCAGTTAAAATCAATACACGAAACTTTATCCTACTACAGAGCTAGCAATTGAATTAAGGGGTCTGATTAAGTCTTAATTTCATGCCACTGTACTGACCTACTCGACAATGATAAAAACAATATTAATAAACTGCTGATAATAACCATTACTTCAACAAAGAATGTGAGACAACAGTGCGCTGCTTTAAGCCACTGTATGCCACAGTGAAAACTATCGAGATATGTATCCTTTATTATGTCTCGATACTTGTGAATAGTTAACTGCCATAAGAAAACTCAGAAATAGCAGAATATGTCAGGATCGTGATACTCTAACGATAACAAGCATCTGATAATCAGCAACAGGAATGTTAAGTCCTAATTTTGTTGTGAGGCGGTAAGATTTTAAGGTCAAATTTACGGGGCAGATTTTCGAGATTAGCATGAGAGCTATGCCTGGTATTGTATAAAACATGTGTCAAAACATGATGTCAAAAAAAGTTAAACGTTTACCACTAGGAAAACTTCCGTTGGTTTCGCCAACAAATACCTAGTGAATTCAATAGCCAAAATGGTAATACTAAAGAAAGTAATGTTTAGCTACAGACGAGCAATGGCATGTGAGATCCTTGGATATTTAAAATTATTATGCACCAATACTGGCCCTTTTTTGGATATGTACAAAAATGTAACCAGTATGATTGTAGTCAAAACTAAACGGTGATAAAACATTGACCAGGTCTTATTATTTTATTAACTACGCACTAAATCTCAGTTTATCATACAATACCTTGTACGTGATGGAAAATTTAAATGTAAAACCAAAACAGTCCTTCCATTACGACTGTATCTATTTCATTAGAAACAAATATCGCATCGTCGAAATTTACATTGGAGACAGTCCACGGAAGAAATAAGGGTCCGAAAAGACAGATCGATGACTGGATTAAAATCAATATAAAACAAAGAAATTTTAACGAAGTGCATGACCGAGTAGTTTGAAACAATAGGATTCAGTCTGCTAAGTTGTTTTGACAGTGTAGTACTACGATGAAGTACGACGATATTATAAGAAGATCCGATCAAGTAATTATTGCAAGATATCTCCATGGAGATATCTTGCACATACATATGTATACGGAAACACTAGAGTTCGTGAAACATATGGACAGATTTCACGAATAAAATAACAGGGGCTTGATTTCATTGCTTACAGAGCAAAACCTTGTCTCAAATTTTCGAATTATCACGGAATTAACATATCCCAAGGCATGATATATAGTATATATGTCCAAATACATCATTAAATTTATATCACTAATTATAAAAATGTAAACTTTGGAAGTAAAAGGTGGGGACCAATATTCGAAATATACACACTAACATGCTATATCCAGTAATTCAATCACTGAAAAACGAAGTCAAGCCTTCGAACCTGAACCTCAAGGTCAAACATGCGTATCCAAACATAGCTGGTAATTGTGAAATATACTGTTTACAATGATGTATTATCTACTCTGTATATCTGATAGCGTTACATGAACTTCAAAAGGAGTAGCTGAATACTTATAAATGTTGGGAAAAAACTTAAAACTTAGTGAGAAGGGCTCTGCGTAGTTTCATATTGGTGCATTGAGTTTAGATAGTGATAACACATGTTGGCCCCTTACTTCTCTGGTTCTGAGTAGTGTCTAGTCTCTTTTGAATGAGGTAATGGAAGGCACAGATACCATTTGTTCCAGCAGCTGGCTTTGAAATTTGACAACTTTGTTAGACTTCTGAAGTCTGCTGTTGGATCTTCCAGTTCTTCTAACTAAAATTGAGGAAAAATAGGGGATAACTAAGATCTGAAATCATTTATTATTGTCGTGTACGCCAAGGCGTCACCTACAAATCTGTTTAATAAAAGTATGAAAAGATCTAACTTTCAAGATGTCTTTAAAGCCACATGGAGACAAACCTATGTACTTTTTAGGCAGGAGCTTGGGAGATGAACAGAATATTGTAATCAAGACTACTCCAAAGCTGTTCAACTCGTGAGTAACACAATTTAACTTAGTTTAGTCAAAAGCCTTATATTCTAGAGCATCTAACCTGAAAATCAGTCATCTGCTGTTTTCAGACGATGACTCTGTAGCGGTAAATAAATCCCCAAAATAAATAGCCCTGTAAGTTTTCGACATTGGATGCTGACCATATGTTTTAGTGGACTCATCTAGCTGAAGGCGCTCGGTCAGGCATCCGCACCAGATCACGTGTGGTAACGTTGTGCTCAACATCTACCGCAAACGCTAGCCAGATTAGATCAGAGAATTTCGATATATTGGTAATCGCCAAATACACTTTTCCGATCTCCTCGGCTCTGTCTTTTGATTTCTCTGGGTGGGAACGAAATATATTAGGCGTTACTGGTAAAGCGTTGTCAAACACTGAATACCTGTGTCATCTTCAACTCACTATGATAACTAAATCATGGTGATTCAGAATTTTAGTCATATACGTTTCTCAAATATGGTAGTTAGTTATAACCCCGTCTCCCAATCACAAACAGACGCCTGAAGCCGCATCGGCAGGTATCAAGTGATTCATGTGTATTTTGTAGTGCTTAATGCTTTAAATATGGTAAAATTGGACACATTCAGTCAGTTTGTAATACCAATGTTTATTTTCGCTCCAAACAATGACGGATTTTTTTGAATTCCCATCCTATTAAATCGAATTTTTCTAATGATCATTTATCTTTATCCACGATTCCGAAAAGCAATGTAGAGCCACACAGCAGTGCATAATTAGATGACACACAGAATCATTGTGAGACAAAAGTATCTAATCAACCAACTTCCTATCGGATTTCTTCATGTTATTGAAGGATATAGTTCTTCCTGATGATTAGTATATTTGTAATAGAATTCCTTATAAATATGAGGAAAATATTTTGAATGGATCAAATCATGGACGAAAATCCGGTGCAGTTTCGCAAGATGCTGATTTTTCTTATGATCCATTATTCAATGACATGTAGCGTGGCGTCGAGTTGAGATTAACTATGAACACCGCTACCAAGAAACACGTGCCAAATAAATCAGAAGGCGTAAGAAGCTCGTTCCAAATGACTCCATAAAATCCCCGAGAAGCCAAATATCAGAAGGCGATTAATGGACCAAGTCGAGGTTTATTAGCTGGCGATCTCGTGGCATCGAAAGGATACCGAGATCGTGCCAGGATACAACCTTGGTTACAGAAGGTAACCGAATTCGCGCGAAGTTACAATCAAAGTCTGTGTATATGGATGGAAGCACAAAATAGTTGTCATTAGCACAGTCAAACAAAGCACGTTAAAACAAACACTGGTACAGTTGGTTATAATAATAATTGTTTTTATTAAACCAGTCGTGTTCTCGTGATAAACGTGAGGCACTACAGACATTATTAATAAATTTTAGGGAAATACTTCAGAAAAATCAAATCCTGATGTTATATCGAATGTTTTTCGTCCTCATAATGCATTTTTTTTCTTGTGGGAAACTTGTTCAATGCGTAGTATGATTCATAACGGAGTTGGACTTTGCCTACAATTCGGATGATTTCATATCAGCTGTTGTTCATCCTTATCATGAAGTCGATTCTAATGAATTCTCCAGTTAATATAAGAAATATGCCTTACGTGAATCAATATCATTTAGAATTTGGGAATGTGAAGATTCAACTTCAAATCATCGGGAGGATAGTGTTGAAAAGTTTATACTTCAAATTCTAGATATTAGTGGTTTCGGTACACAACCGACGTGGTGATTGTATACAATCTCAGGACCCAGGTGAGTCTGTTCCTATTATACTTGTTAATTCTGGTACTAATGAGCATATTCTAGATCATACAGAGTCTATACCCGTTACAAATTCCGGCAGACACAGGATAAATATAAGACGTCCAATTGATTGCAGAAATTCGGATTCTCATTTAAGCTCTGGAGGGTGTGGTGTTTGTATGAATTAATGATTTCTTTGAACTTGATGACTATCTGATTTAGGATTCCAAATATAGTACATTTGTTCGTGCTCATCTAGTTCTTCTTGATTTAAATCACGCAATTTCGGGAATCCTAGTTTGTTTGATAATTCAAATACTTCCAATTATCACGAGTCATCAGAGCATCCTTCGAAAAAAAGAAGGAAAGTATCATGAGGAATGTAATGCAGCGCTATGTACTCACAAATGATGGTAACGAAGATAACAAATATCGGTTTTATGAGAGTTTGTAATCAGTCATAGAGATGTGCTCAGGAAAGGTCGGGACCATCCTGATGAGAGGTCTAAACACCAAGGTTGGAATGATCCCAAAATATAACGCGGAGAACACCAACACAATCACACTTCATGGAAGTTGGTAGTTTCACGTACTTGAGCAGCATCATCGATAAACAAGGAGGATCTGATGCCGATGTAAAGGCAGAGATTGGCAGAATAATGGCAGAATTCATGCGATCGGGAGATCAGAATAGCCATCAAACAAATGAAGACTGAAAAAGCAGAAAGACCTGACAACATTCTAGCTGAAGTAGTGATAACTGACATAGAAGTAACCCAAAGATGCTCCACGTCCTGGTAGAATAAAGGCTTCTTTTTGGATGATTGTAAGCAAATGAGCCGCAACATTAACATCCTTGATATCTTCCTTCGTCGAAGTTCAGATTTCGAACCTTTCCATATAATCCTCAAAAGCATCAAGAGTTGAATGTAGGTCCAGCTGTCCCATCAAATGTTCCATCGCGACTCCAACGTGATCAGAAGCATTTGAATTATGAACTATTAATCCCCGAAATAGCTCAATTTAAACCAAGCAGAACTAGGTGAGAACAAACAAGCGTATTGCATTTAGAACTAAAAGTCAGGCAATCTTCAAGCACAAAGAACCATTAGTTCATACAAGCACCACATGACGCGGTTTCCATATGATTCTCATCTTGTAAGTGCTTTTCGTGCTTCTTTGAACAGCATCACTGCAACTTCTTATGTGTGCGAAGCTCGTTCTCCTCCTTGATCAGAGTACAACAAAATCTTTTCTTTCCGGTTTGGGTCCAATCTTTAGTAGCATTGATAATGAATGGCAATCGCGCCTACAAATTGAGTATTTTTTATTAACCAAGTGATAAACAAACGATCGTCTCACCAAAATCAGAATGAGTTAATTTAGTAAAGCGAATTTATCAGCTGTCAGTAATGGACAATGGAAAAAAGGAAGACTATCAAAAATAGACTACTCAGGGATACACTTTTGATCTGTTTCTTTTTTGGGTAAGGCCGATTGACAACAAACGCTTTCGTAGTTGTTATAGCTCATTGTCATAAAATAGTATTTACTCAGCAGGTTGTTTTATTTATTAAAAACATAAAATAATAAGGACCGAGAATTTCGGTTTCCAAACTGTTAGTAATACTGGATGAGAGGCTTTAGAGGTGTTTAAGAAGAATCACACCCTTCTGAAGAGTTCAGACAAAGCGATTATAAAAGGTACTTAGAGTGAGAAATAAACCCTCTCCATCTGGCTTGGAAGCGCCGAAATTTCCACCTCTGCTGGTAGATAAGCAGTGATGTGATCACAGTGAATAGGATCCCTCATAACTCTCATGATCATTGTGAACTGCCTCCACTCTTCAACGCTAAATAAACTTTTGTAGTGCATCACTTAAATCTAGAGAAAGACTGTGTATACATAGAGATAAATATCCTCGTGATGAGAGCTTAAGAAATGTAAGACAAGTTTCTCCACTTCATGGTGGGGTTATTTCATGTCAATTCCTCACTATTGCGGTTCGATATGTACCTTTAACCAATGATACTAGAAGAGATATCTACGATTCTTCATAAAACAGTTTCTTTACAGTATAAAAAAATGTTCAGCAGTATGGGTTCACTGTGGTTACAGACAGTAAAAACACAATTATCTTCATTTGAGACTATGTAGTCTTTCAATTTCTTTGTTACTTTAAGTCAGCACCGAAGACGTGGCTCACATGGTAAATTGACAGTGAGTTTAATCACCAGAAGTGATACAGTTGAAACTTAACCTGTTGAAAGACTTCAAAAAACAATAAACTTACATAAAAGCACTAGATCTCAGAGTTATTGATCAATATACTGTCTTGTTGATAATATTGTTATTCGACCATTTAGCCCAGTAATGGGTTTAAAAGACGTTTGTACTGTGAAAAATAGAGTTTTAGTGAGTAAATTAATTGATTTTATATTTTTGTTTTAGTCATTCACTTGAATAAAAAGAACAAATTATATGCAGCCTTGTGAATTGTGTGATGAGTTTCGGAGGTTATATCAAAGAGGTGGCTGCATTCCGTGCTTATTACCGACTGTGGAGGTTAATAATCGGATACTGCTTTGAGCTTATTTATTTTTAAATCCCCCAGCATCACCTATTGTTATGGATTTTAAAGTATTTAAACATAGTATCACTCAACTGTAGTTTATCCTCCGCAATGATAAATGAAATAAATTCCTAACGTTTTCGCAGTTGCATGTTCAACTTTGAATTTATTTTTACTTACGTAATTATGATTCAGAGTAGATCATAAAAAAATTCGAATTCATCTATATAATTATACCTTTCTCTTGTTAACCTTTAAGTTTATTCCAGTTATTATTTCTTTTAAGAGTTATTACGCGGTTATATGCTTCCATTTCTCGAAGCTAATAAAGATTTACGCACTATGTAGTAGAGGTTGCTACGTAGTAAACGAAATGCTGTGATCTATTTACTAATATGTTGTGCACTAACGGTTTTATGAAATATCATTTAGCAATGGAAATTGATTAACAGTGATATAATGATGGACCTGGATATTTGAATCAATTCCAATGTAGTCTCTATGTGAGAGGTGGCATGATTTTCACAAAGAACTATTAACTTTTATGTTTGTATTTGATGCTTTTCGATAACTTGTGTTGTGCTCGCTAAGTTGTGTAGATAAATCATGTATATACGAACAGGCTAAAAACCTGGCGATGGAAAACTCTTCTGCACCTGCCAAGAAAATTTATTAAGTCAGAAAACAGTACCTGTCAAATGATTAAACTTTAAGAATTTTCAACTAAATCAGCTTATTACCGATACAACTGTGCTAAGGTAATAATTAAGAATTTAAGATTACTTTACCTAGCTTCTTTAACCTCTTCATATGCTTGAGAAACAACAGTTGTTGGCAAAAAAATTACAAGGGGTTCTTTAAGAAAGCAGCTTTTGATTAAAAACTACAAAAATTAAGCTCGGCATAAGTTGAAAAATATTTAAACTAATAGACCTCACCCCATGGTTATTTTTTAGTTACTTTCTCCAAGATCTGTAATAACGTTCTGTACAAATGTGGACAAACAGTCAAAAAGATGTCCTAGAAAGTCATTTGAACGGATCTAGTGGACAAAACTTCGTAAATAACAGCAGCAGTTTAAGCTCATACGCAACGTTCAATGGTAAGTTTTATTAAAACTAAAAATCGTTATTGAGAGATTCTGAATCGAGTCCAATCCTTGAACCAAGGGACTCAAAGTTTGGTACTAAACTATGGTTATCAAAAACGGACCTTAACTGTCCAATTTGTCAGCATGATTTCTGCTTTAGCATGCTTTTGTGTACTACTGGACAAGAACAAAATGGCTTAACAGAAAACTCTATGAAAGTAATTCGTGATTTGCATTCTAGACTTCATGGTGTTTCACTTGTAAGTGTCTTTAAAATGCTTTGAATTATAATTTTTTGTTGATATACTAAAAGATGTTTTATGAGCTATTTTACGGGAATATGAATGATTTTTATCTATAGACGGTTTTTAAGCCAAAAGCTGGCAAGCAAATAAGACAACCTTAGACGTTGTTTACTATAATTAGAAAAATCAATGACTGTTTCAAATTAAACCTCTTTTCCGCTTTGAATAAGATTTTTAGTATAGATAGCAAGTAGCATTTTTTGTTTCCTTTTCAAACACCTAAAGTAGTAGTAACAATAAAAATAAAACACGTTACATTATTTAGATCCCTAGATAAGTGTATTTAGTAGATTTTATTCGTTAGACAATATGTATTAGTTTGAAATCTGGTTTCTTTAGGTTCACTTAGGTCTTATTCGATTAAACTCTGTCACTGGTCTTAGCTGTTAGTAATATTACAAATGTAACGTACCTCATCTACATCGGTGCTGTAGTTCGATTTTATCCACCTGAATACTGTTCTTGCTCCATTTATATTAGTGTTCACCATGTGGCTTTTTTGTTTGTATTTTTCTATCTGTTCAAAAACACCCATAAGCGCTCATTGTCAGTTTTCCTTTTTCAGAAGTTATGATTTAAAACCATATAATAGGACAAAAAGAACTGATGTGTCTCACGATCGAATGCCCCTCTATGATCATAAGTAGAATATATTGACAAAATCAAACCGACCCACCTATTTTAGTAAAAACTCTAATAAATCAAGCAGATGGCAAATTTAACCGGCTAATGTCATAAAATTACGTTAGTTTCCGCCTTGAGATATTTGTTTAAATCGTTTTCATATTCAGAAATTCCCAGATAAATACTAAATGTTCTCACGTATTTGGTAAACCATCCATTTTTTACTTTGAATAGCTCCTTGTTGATGTATAAAAAACAGATCTTTCTATATAAAGGCAACAATAAATCATTATGGTCTCATAAAGCTTCAAGCTGATTGTTTTAGAAACTCATATTTCTATTTGACACTGTTACCTAGTTATTTCTAAGCTTTGGCTGATGATTCGCGTTAACATTCCCTGATAATTGATCGCTTTGAATAAATTATTTTTGTGCAGCAAAATCCAACGCACATAAAAATCTTGGTATATTAAATAAAAATACAGCACCTTTGGCAACGTTTTCGGGATCATAATAAACCAGTCCTATGTGGCGATATACTAAGTAATTCATCGTTGTAAATGCCTCATACCTCATGTTGTTTTCTTCAAAAAGAGTATTATATGCCGGTAAACGATAGTCAGCCTGAAAAACATCTTCAGAAGCTTGCCGCTCATCCGAACCAGTATTCAGATGTCACTACTTGCATATATAATTATCTTGCAATGTTTTAAATATATTGTATGGAAATTGGCAAGAAGAGATATTTGATAGAAATTATTTTACTACTAATCAATGTTCTTTTACTTTTACTTTATGCCACAGGAATGTACCGTTCTGAGGTCAGAACTTGAAGTTCTTTACAAAGCATTTAATTCAAAATGTCAGGCAGTCAAGATTTTAACGAATAATGTAAGTAATATCAAAATAGATTATTAATGATTTTGATGTGCTAACATCCCATCATGTGTATGTATATTGGCCTATGAACAGTATTATCTAGCTTCTGATCTTTATCGTCATTAATTGATGCAACTATCAAGACTGTTGGTCATCGGTTAAAGTTTAGACAATTGAGTCGTAGAGCTGCAGATTTATATAATTAAATGTTGGTAGTTAATTTATGTTAACGACACTAGTGTAACATCAAATTGCGAGTATAATTGTATAACTTTATTTGGTAAATGCACTGCTTCTAACTCTGACCATTTGACCTTTGGACAATCTTGCCGATGAATAACATTACTTTTGGCTACTTAAAACTTGGACAGAACAAATTAAAAGTATCACCACACTGCTTAAAAAGTACGGAAAAATATGGGCGGCTAAGGGTCAGTAAGAACCAAATAGTTTGAAATTGTGATGTTATTTTTCAGATGGACAAATGTTGGTTATTGTAAATAAGGATATAATGTAAATGTTTTAAAATAACAAGGATAATAGTATGAATGAAATCTTTACGTTTTAGTTGAAGGTAATTGAGCAAGTTGTGCCAAGAAGGATGGTAACACACGTCGTCCAAAGATAAAAAAAATATGGCAGAAGAATGAGTCCCTTAAATACCACCAAGTAATTACAGTAACTCACGCAATAAGGGTCCTGAATTAATTTTAACTGTTGAAAACTGAAACTTCATTAATCTATGTGTTTTCCTAATTAGTTTCCAGAGAAATTAAGCAGTTTTACATACGAAGCGACTGAAATCCCATATTACTGATTTAGTTACATAAAATAAAGACTATCGTTCTCTATTAATGAGTGACACGAAAGCTTTGGTCTAGATACTATGGCCTGGTATAGCAAAGGGTTTGAAATGTGTAGGAGGATCTAAAATGATTTCATCCACTTTACTACTACCGATTTTGGGCCATGTTACACCTAGTTTTTAACTATAGATTGTGATTTTGTCGCAAAACCTACCCGGTAAACCTCTGTCACCAACATTGCTCAAATCAGCAGTCATACACAAGTAACGTGTCTGTCCTCCCTATTCTTTAAAAAGCCACTTTTTATCCCATCCAGTAGGATGATCTGAGATAGGGGATAGCTGGAACCGTTAGTAAAAACAGTGTTCAGGTTAAGAACATGACATTAACTACAGTAAACAAGTCATCGGAAGTAACGTTAACATTTTCTCGATCGATAACAGTGTAATATTCATCCCGTAATACCTACCATAATAATCAAAGTGACAACTAATTAATAAAAAAGCAATATGTGGTTAAGCTCTTTTTCAGAGGAGCACTCACTATTCTTCTGCAATAATTATGCTCCTATTCTAAACGGGGGGTTCGTCAACAGCTGATTAACCCATTTTTAATTTCGTTTTTGGGAAGAAGGAGAAAGTAAACCATAATCGTTTAACACAATTAACTAAATTAAAAGTCATCATTTGAACATGAACTATTTCTCGTACGACTCTGTTGTATTTATTTTAAATCATACGTCCACTAAAATTCCACTTCTACTCAGTTTTTCAGAGTTAAATCATTATTAGCTGTGGGGAGTCATACTGTGAACTTCAATAAGAGGAAGTAATATATTTTGTAATTTACTCAAAATACGATAAGGCATTACCTACTAATGAATAAACAATGGATCATTTCATTGAGGAAAACTTTATAGACAATGATTTAACGATTAATTTGATTTCATGATTAATAGAGGAAAGTAGTCGAACCTAACAACTTCATACTAGGTTTTAAATAACCACAGGATGCACATTTACAAAAATTTGCCAATATCTTTTTGAATAGTAGTTCATTTACATGAATTAACTGTTAAATCCCTTAGCAAGAAAAACGTAATTTTATGAAAAGTTACTAGAAATATGTTTTCCAAATAACCACTTAGTTTCTATAATCTGCATTATTGTAAAAATAACTGTTTCATTTAGTAATTTATCTTCAATTCACGTATATACTGTACATTAAATATTTCTGGAATCTTCATGTTAACCAATATTGTTGTGGATATTTTGATAAAAATCTAGGGTTCGCATAGATACTCACTGGCTTCATAAATATCAGCTGTCTTAATAATAAGATTTTTATTTAAATATGATAATATTGAATTTATACCCTTCGGATAATTTCGTAAATGTATATTATAAAAAAGGTAGCATGAATTAATTATTTCTGTGTATCAGCGAAACAGTTATTTCACATCAGTTCGTCAGTTCACGGACAAAATTCTATTTTGATAATCACTGAAGTATATTCTGACTGACAAGTTTAACATTTTTATTGTTTTCCTGATATGGATTATGTATTGTGTAAAAAAGCACCAATTTCAACTGTAAGTCATGAATTAACGAAATAACTGTTTCATTAAAATCATGGACCGACCAATGTTAGACCACCAAAAAACTGAAAGCACCGGGTGGCCATTCCATCCCAGTATGGAACTCCTCAGCAGTGCGCATCAAGAATTCCACATACGGGACTCGGGCCCAAGACCATTGGTTTCGCGAGAACGCTTAACCTCTAGACCACTGGGCAGCCTCCCAACGATGCCATTGTTTTACTTCAACCAATCCACTATATCACACGACAATCTTCCATTGTCTTCGATGGATAACTGCCTCAGCCGACATGGTTGGGCTCCACTGGTCACGGCTTCTCATTAGAATTCAAATAACTCCCTTTCGGAGCTAGTCACAAGTGGACACATGGTAAGTTTTAGTTTATTGTTGTAGAGATCGTCAAATGTCATTGAAATAATTGTTGGTATTAAGTGAGTACAAGACGGCCATTTCATCTTATGAATTATGTGTCATAACAGGCCATATTACAAATTAAAATTTAGATTATACAGTCTGAATGATTTATGCTCAGTTACGTGGTCACTAGCGAATCTTTACTGCTTAACAACATATGTGTCTAATGACAGAAAGAAACACCCATACATTACTATTTGATCTAAATAATTTCTCTATTCATATTGTAGTGAATTATTCCGTGAGAATAGTTAATTAAGTAAATAAGTGATCTTTAAAAGGAGTAGAAATTTTTAACTTTTAATTACAAATCTTTTAAATATAATCAATGAGATCATACTGCTTTCGATCCTAACTCATTAAAAATGCTTTTCTACTCAAGCGATTTTGTGAAAATTTTTGTACAATTTATAAACAGCTTTTCTCATGAACTGATGTCAACAGGCGAACTGTAGAGAACTGAGAAGTACTGTAGATCTTTTTTCTCACTCGAACGCTATTCGGAAGTACATATCTGTAGCTTCATACCGGGCTAGACCCAAGATTTCGATTTGATAAATAGAAAGACGCATTGTCTTATAAAGATTTAAAGCGCCAGTTTCTAAGTAAACGTATCAATACTACCTAACCAGATTCTGTCTTATGTTCACGGATTTCTATTCTTTAGCTCCTGAATTTTCAAAAAGTTTGGGGTGTAAAGCAAACTGAGGTTAAAGGAGCGATCCTTGATCTGTATTGTAATAAAAACTCTCTACAATCCCATTTTTATACACACATATCAGACGATATTTTGCTGTAAAAGGTTTTTACTTCATTGAGTGATGAGAGTAACAATGAGTCCTTGTTAATATGACTATATTATCCAGAGTGTCTTCATAAAAGACTTCACCCAAGGTCTAAATTCTAATTATTTCTAATCCAACTGAATCCCTTGACCTGATCTTCTCAGTGTGTACTATTCCAATTTTCCTCCTTCTATCAAAAATTAAAGTACACATTAGTTACTTTCAAGAAATCTGATGTTGGAATACACTAATAAGTTTTCGTTAACTATGTTTATTTATCTCTCCCACCTGATGGTCAACTATGCGATTCAGTTAAACCAAACCTCAAGTGAACTATGAAATATTTATGACCAATTTATTAATGTAATTCGATACGATAAAGATTGTTTGTTAAATAAACTAATGTTAATTGTTCAATCATTTAGGCTGTATTGATCCACTCTAGTTAACTAACCCAAAGCGTATAATCAGTAAACCTATTAGATATAATACTTTATGGTTGAGATTAAGTTTAAATGTATTAAAGATTTAATTACTTAGAGTTTCTATGTTTCTCCACCCAATTTCCTTTAAATATGAATTGAATCATAGGTATCAGTCAACTAATTAACTTTCTACTTGTTCTAATACTGTTCAATTGTTATTTCGCACCCTCTTACTTTACTTACGCTTGTTACTCCCAATGGAGCAGCATTCTCCAACCCACCCTCACAAAGCACTAATCTTGTGTATGTTTGGTAGCAGAAGTTGTTGTAGCCATAGACGCTTTTAAGTATCGGTCGATAAGGATAATTACTAAATTAGATTTATCTGGCATTTCAACTGTATTCAATGTGCTTGCTTATTTAAAGAACTTTACTAAACTATGTAATGAAGAAATCGGTTAGATTTGACGATAAAACTCAATGTGTAGCTATACTCTTCCTGTGAATAATACAAATAGAATAATGTACAATATGAATATCAGAGAGGGAGAATATGGGTAAAAAGGAAGTCCTTCCTAAACAATGCATTCAAGGAAAATAATAGAGGATGAGCATTTAGAAACCGGATTATCTATAAACAGCAACAGACTCATTAATATGTGAAGAAATGATCATTGCCTTGGAAATGAATCTATGATTGTCCTTCCGGTTGGACTGGCACTACTACTCCCTAAACACCAAAGTGCACTCTACTCAAATATATATCCCAAGAGTATCCTGCCTAATAAACGATCCAAGTTAATTAACAATTTTATTTTTCAATATCTGATTTATTTAAATAATATTGTTTCATCAAGATTTACCCTTAAGAAAATCGCTACGGTCAAACCCGATAGTTAAGACGAAGTGCTAACATGCCGGTTATGCAAAACAGTTTGTTAGAAACTCACATACTGAAAAGGAAATACAATACAAAACAAAAAACACAAGTAATATCTCCCTAACATCAGAAAATGCAATCTGTCTATCCTCTTATTTCTATATAGGTATAATACAACGTTCTTCATTTCTTGTTATTAGTTTTATTAATGTCTTTGATATCCTTTGTATACATCTGTTACCACCATTTTCATTTCCTGTCGCTGATTTATTTCAAATGATTAACTTTTTTGAAATTCTTTGAGTCTATGCAATCTACACTTAGCTTTATATCACTTTGTTGATTAATACACAATCTCTTTTCATACCCAAAAATAGATTTACCATTCTTATCATGACCATTTTTGCTTTGATCATATAATTTTATTTCATTGGTAATAGCTAAACCATAAATTTACGGTGGACTTAGTTACACTTGTACAACTTTTAGAAGAGACGTCTTTGGAGAAGAAAATATTTACAAAACAGCTAAAATATCTAGACATTCCTAACAATATACAACACTTGTGAATGAATAGAAACTAACTTGTCGTATGCAAAGTAGTTGGCTATATGGAGTAAGATTTCTAAGGATTTGAACGAATAACTTAATCAACACTTCAAACTAAGAAAACGATTAATTTTTTAATTTAAGGATAATAAATTCAACGATTATTTTAACTGGTATCTGACATATAGATGATGGATAAATTTTGTTCTTCATCAGAATGAGTTTTAACTTAATTTTAGAAGTTAAATTCACGAGTCGATATAAGCTAGACCACCAGTGAAAACTTGGAAGCACTGGACGGTCGTTTTGTCCCAGTATGGGACATCTCAGCAGTGCGCATCCACGATCCCGCATGCAGGACTCGAGTCAAAGACCTCCGATCTTGCACGCGAACGTTTAACCTCTAGACCACTGAGCCGGCTTTCAACGGTGTTAATGTCTAATTTCAATCAATCCATGATCTTGCGTAACCATCCATCCGTTGTCTGAGGTAGATACCTGTTTCTACCTGATTCGGATCGGACTCCTCTAGTTACAGCTTCTCTGTAGTGCTGAGGAGTCCCACACTAGGACGAAAGGTCATCTAGTGCTTCCAATTATTCAGCGATGATCTAGCTTATATTGACTCATGGATTCAATCAATAAAATTTATTTCTATCAAGAGTTTTTAACATACTTTGCAAATAAACGATCGAAATTTTCTATATTATGAAAGCCACATGGATAATAAACGACTTATTTAATATTTTTGTGATTGTGAACTAATGTCGTCTGGAATCCATTGAAAACAAAGGAGTATTCATATATAACAGTATGCTTTCTATGAAGCCTGAAGGTTCAGTCTTGAATGAAGTCATAGGTGTATATTGCGCAAGACCAGAAGGTTGTGACCACCGGACTTTTATATCTCGCAAACGGAACAATACCCCTTGATTTCTAATCATTCTGCGAATGAAATTTGTTCCCGGAGAAATTTACATATAAACATCTCAGTATATTCAATGGTGCTTGTTGTAATCATTCTTTTGTTTACTTTGATACACATATAAAAGAAAAGAAACGTCTCATATGAAAAGACGACAAAGAACCAGTCAGTCAGTCGGAAGCATCGATTCAAGTAACAACAGCAAATCAGCTCAGAGAGATGAAAATATTAAAAGGAGGGCAGTAATAGTATCAGCGCTAGTAGTAATATCAGTGATAATAGTAATCATAGTTAATATAAGCTACAATAAAAATCAAATAAGTTATTCATCATTTTGTTATTATTGTCGTACACACTGAGATTTTAAGTAGTTGAGATTTTTTTATCACATGTTAACTTTATTGGATATTGAAAGAAATTTCATTTACATTTTATAAAAAAAACATACAGAGAGTTGAGTAATTATAATGGAATTATTATCAATATGCCAATAAATTTAGTGACTAATAAATTTTTAGCTATTTAGTTTCCTCTTGTACATTAATTCAAACAAAAAAGTGTGTGTTATATCCAATGTACACGTGAAACTACGTATGCCTTCATCATTCATAAACATGAATGTATTATTAATAGCAAACTACTAAAATGATACAGACATTTATTAATTACTAACATTTGTAGCTAAAAATTGAAAATACTTAATGTCAATTAAAGTTTTACATGTACTTGTATGGATGTAAATATGTATGTTCACTTGCAGAAAGAATTTTTTTCAGTATGTAACCATGATATTGTGTATGTTGTTCCAAGTGTTATGTCATTAATTTAATCTGTAGAGCGATAGATACACGTAAATATTATCGAAAAGCTCTAGAATAAAAATACTTTCACCTCATAGTCCTTCAGGTTTATGCGTGGTTTATTAAGTGATTCAATTTTGGGATGATAACTGATTTCGAAAATAAAAAGTAGAACAAAAGCAATGTTAAACAACTAGAGAAAAAAAACTATCAGATGTTTTGTTGGGATATAAGCTCTAGGATTATTAAAATAATCAGTGATTACAATCTCAAATGGTTCACTAGATAAGATATTATGTTATGTTTGGTCACAAAACTCTTAATATTCACAATAAAGTTTATTATCATAAAAAACTGGTCTATTTGTTCCAAAGCAAAATAATTCCAAGTATTGTTTTTAAAACACTATTGAATATCCGTCAAAATAAATCAAATGTGTCGCTTACGCACAGTGTTTGAAAATTTAGTAGATTGGAGGCTCCCGAACCATGATATGGTATTAGTTCTTGAATTCATTGGCTGTTTTACTGAACCATTTAGATAGATGTAAACTATCTGGTTGGAGTTCATGTGATTATTGTGAGCGATAGTTGAAGACGTTGTATGATATGGCTCAGAATCGGTCGCAGATGGCCCAGATTAGTCCACTATTTATCTTCCCTTAAATCGTGAATCGCTTTGCCGAAACCTAACCTACAGTTGAAGAACATATGGAGCTCAAAACAAATTTCAACCAATATCAAAGTGAGAATTTGCAATACGAATGTCAAGGCAGATCTACTGTACGGAGCTGAAACTTGGAGAACTACAACAACCATCATCAAGAAGGTGCAAGTATTTATAAATAGCAAGATACTAAACATCCATTGGCCGGATACAATCAGTAACAGCCTTTTGTGGGAGAGAACAAACCAGCTTCCAGTTGAAGAGGAAATTAGGAAAAGACGATGGAAATGGATAGGACATACACTACGCAAATCGTCAAACTGCATCACGAGACAAGCCGTAACTTGGAATCCTGAAGGAAGGCGCCAAAGAGGAAGGCCAAAGAACACATTACGTCGGGAAATAAAAGCAGATATAAAAAGGATGAATAACAACTGGAAGGAGCTGGAAAGGATTGCCTGGGACAGGGTTGGATGGCGAGTGCTGGTGGGCTGCCTATGTTCCTTCACGAGGAGTAACAGGCGTAAGTAAGTAAGTAAGTAAAATAGCAAAATGTTGCTTTGGCTAATTGATATATACTTACTACAATGATTAAAATATCAAGAACAAAGGTTTGTAGATGAACTCTGTAAATAATAGTGTAGGAGAGCTTTAAGTTACACTGCAACTATTAAACATATAACCATATTATTAATATGACTAATAATAATAATTACAATGAGAATAATCATAATAATAATTGATCATTAATACTCTTGTTTTGCCAAAATAATTTTAATGAGAGTAAACAAATAAGACAACTTAAACAATAATTGACTTTAAATAAAATAAAATTTTCTTTTATGAGTGTGGTGGCTTAATGGTTAGAAAAGGCAGAACCTTCGACTAATAGTCTACAGCTTCGTACCTACCTACTCATACATATATTACAGTTTAAGCAATCAAATTGTATTAGTAACTCCCACATATTAATAATGTGTATTTTAAATTTATGTTTCATAAAGTTAATATTTACTTCTAAGTAATTCTCGTTTTTCCTAAAAATAAAATTTATTATCATTTTAGAAATTTCAGTCATCGGATGAGAATGGTCAAACGCGAAGTACTGTTTACGCATCAACTGTTGAACTGGAAAAGGTTAAATTATTATTAACATAATTATTTTAATTTGAAATTATTTTTGCAAGTATGATAAACTTATTATCCATAATGATTGGTTGTATACAGTGTGATACTGTTGAGGAAATACACCTCATTATATGTCGTTCCGAACAAACACTGTTCACAAAGAAACATATATTGCATATTTTTTAAAGTGCAATTAAATATGTCGCTTAATTGATAAGGAATAAGTGCTCCAGATACTAAATGTTATGCTTGAAGTAGTCAGGCAAAAAGTGATTTTAAAAATAAAATAAAGCATCTGTAAATATGAAAAATTAGAATCAATGGATTTAAGTAGGGACATTTCATTCGGATTCTTAACACACATATTTTTAAAGGTACTGTTCGTCATCGGCTGAAAAATAGCTGAAAATAAAGAACGAATAGACTGTTCTTTAGCCTCATTTTAAGACCTATCAGAAGGGCAGAGAAAAGAATCCACAGAAGCTTGAAAATAATATCTTCAAATCTGAAAAATCATGATGCCTTTAAACCATGAAGTCGGAACGCAGTGATTTACATTTACAAATTTCAGCGCTTAACCCTCTAGTAGGGCAATCATTCAAGAAGTTTAGTATATATTCTCTGATACTTAACATGTTTAAACTCAACCAGTCATCACATTCACCTGAAATCCGTCTTGAAGTTAGTATATATACATGTGCGCCATGATCACCAGAGATCGAAATAAATTCATATAAATGCCTTCTCTGTCAAACAAGGTACTGTCATATATGAAGTTATTTCAAGTGCGTGCAGTTAATTAGAGGTTTTGTGTAGTACAACTTCATACAGGCCTCTATAACAAACATTTGATTATTTGAAAAATCGACTCAAGTCTCCAAGTTATTCAGTAGTAGGTTAGATTTATTTTATAAGAATGATTAAACGTTTTTTTCAATAGAAATATTTCGTTAATCTTGTTTACGTTGACAATGTACTTTGAAAATTGATCAATATAACTTATAATAAAACATTATTTATACAAGGATTAGCTATGAAAAATAGTTAAAAAAATCCCTAATTAAGGTCAATCCATTTTTGAACAATTTAGGTAAGATTATTTAAGTTAATCAGTATATATGATATATCTTTTGATGACACTCAGTAAATTATACAAGTACATTTCTCAAATATTAGCTCTAATTGTAAATCTACCACAACAAATTACTTTGTTCATTCACGATAGTCTTATCTATTTCATATCTGTTCTTACTTTTGTTAATATTGTTCACATTCGTTAAATTTTATTATTTGTTCCCAAGACCAACACGTAATGTATTGACAAAAACGGCTTAAGTGGTTTTACAAAATCGATAAATATGTGTTGATCTCAAAGCCAATTATTTATAATATTTATGAATAAAGTTTTCAGGTATGTTTTATGCCATAAGTAAATAATTTGTGTCAAAACATCAAGCTACAGAGAACCTTCATCAAAGTGATTCACATATAATGAACTACTATATATATTTCGCACCGGGTCAATTATAGATTATATCCACTAGAGGTTTTATCTTTTCAACTTTTATTTTTATGGTTTTGTGTCTTATGTGTTGAGTGCTCCAATTTGGAATCGTTCATCATCGTTTTATATAACATCAGTGCTTAACTCAAATGAATACACTAAAATTACTCAGCAAGTAATAAATCGGACCGTTCTGATACTTTTTCCAGTGATTGGTTAACCTTATATTCGCTATCTCTATATGCATTTAAATCCCCATCGACTGTTGTTTTAGAATGACCTGTAAACACATGAAAAAATAAACCTTATTCTCACTTTTTCATAGGTTAAATGTATGTTTACATACACAACTATTCGAGATTGGCTTGAATGTCAAGTATGCAGAAATTCTTTTGAATTCATTCTATTCAAAATTTTAGAATTTCCCCTATCAAATTTATCTTGGTTGTTGTCTGTATGCATTTTGCTATAAGTAATCACATATAGTACCTTTCAAATACTTGCGTATATTTTTGGATGTTTAATTGAAACAGATGTCTATTTTCCTCACTGTAGCTCTACTATTTGAGACAACAGACCTTGTAAATAATGTTGGACTTTTTTTATTTCATCCTTGACCCATCATTAAATGGAGTTAAATGAATACGTTGGTTAATGGGCAACACTAAATTCGTTGGTTTTCAAAATTTTAGTGATAATTTGTTAAATATTGTTACACAATAAATTGTAAAATGTCTGCAGGCTTTTCAGGATGATTTTGGAATGACAGAATAATTCACCAGATATATTTTTAGTGAATTTGCTATGGTAGTTGTTATATCAAGAGGATTTGATCTTTCTCCGAGGATCATATAAATAACTTTTTTTGTGGTCTTTTGGGTTGTTACAGTTGTGATCTAATGATTGATCTGTATGATTTGACGTTCTATTAGTTTTTCCCTCCAGTACATATAACTTCTTTCATAACGCATTAAATTTAAATGCATTGGGTAAAATTCACCTTACATTATTCATGAATACTTTTCATAGATACCAGAATACTTAACAATAGTATAAAATATATGGTTGACAACCAGTCAGATACAAATAAATTCACTTTTTTTCTTCCATTAGATCTTGGGTTTCAGAATTAAATCTTACATTCTGAGGATTACTTTTTTACAATGTATTTTCGTTTAGTCAGTTTAATTCACACTCAGTGAAAATAATTCAGTATTTATTCTAGAATTAGCAGTCAGTTCCATACCTTTTTATTCACTTTCTATAAAATTAAAAAAATATTAAAGTATATAACCTTCTGAATGTTTAAGCTAGAATCTCTATTCAATGTTAGAATATCCTAACTATTTTTAAAAAAAACATCTGATAATCATCAAAGCGACTACCTAACATCGTAATTACTAAAAAATAATAATGACTGGCATTACCAAGATTCTACTAAAAAGCAGATACATATAGAATCACCAGTTCAAACACGTCCCAATTACTCTACGATTATATTTAATTAGGATGGCAATCATCTTACAGGTTGGTTTAAGTTGGAAATGTGGTACATTAGATATGCTTACGTGGCGTTGCACTCAAAAACGCTTACAGATTCTGGTTTTGAGGTTACATGGGGTTGATACTGCTCAATGTCAAAGTATCCAAATCAAAAACGTAACATTTACCTACTGCTTTCCGACTTTCAGTGGTATTCCAACTGATATTAGTCCATTTTTTAAACTATCACTAAACTCAACAAACCTCAGTAAGCTGCCTTGCTAAATAACTTCCTAATTTTATCATGCTGATATTTTCTTTTTTAACCACAATTATTCCATATTATGAATAGGAGGACAAAGTATTTTTTTGTATAAATATTTGCAAACTAAAGACTTCTTAATGATCAAACAATATCTGTATTTTTTATTCCCAGGAAATAAACAAACTGAAAATAGACCTTGAATTAAGTAAAGGTGCTCTGTTATCACACCAGCAGTCGTCTAAAGCAAAAGTTCAACAGTAAGTAATAATTCTCATTTATATTTTCAATCATTTGCAAAAGACTTAAAGTATAAATAGTTGCATTTTGAATTTATTAATATTTCGTTAATTTATAATTGATGTTTGTGTTCTGAAGTGAGTTCAATTAATAATAATGAAGTTTGTTGTTTTGTCCTCATTTATTGAGGTATTATTAAATGTGGGAACACTAATTAAGAAATGGTTAGTTTATAAGCGGGAGCTAAGGTATAAAAAAGTTATTTGTATTGGGTTAACAATCAATGGTTTATCATAACAATGAAAAGTAGCCTGAGACATTATCGATTATGGCTTAGGATAAACTTCAGTGTCAGTTCTTTTGTGATTTTTATTTTAATCCTCAAAAACAATAAGATATATCTAGCTGAACGAAATTTATTTTACCCGTATTTCTACTGAAACTGTATGTTTTACCAACTTTCATATCTCTTATGACTTTTCGGCACCTGTTCACTATATCACTGTAACTTCGTAATGAGTTTATAAATACCCTTATCACACCAAAAATATTTTTGTGATATAAATGAATCCACTTTTTGTGTCGTATCGGAAATTGATTAAAACTATATCTTTAGTCTTTACTTCAGTGACAAAAAGTTAGTTACCTCTTCTCAATATCTAAATGTTTGGGATTCAACACTGTTTTGGGAAAAGGAAGGTGAACATTTTTGAGGAGTCCTAAATTAGTAGGTGGTACCTATCTATCTGACGCTAGACGAAAAATATACAACTTATTAATGTATAGATATTCGTATAATTTGATAAGACGAAGGGTGTCGAAATTACATGGTACACCTGCGCAATACGTTTCTAACAAGTTGATCACATACATACTTCTTAAGACATTATATATGAAAAATAAAGGTCAGCTAGACAAATGAAAAGGTAAGGCGAACCAAGTTAGTTATGAAGTACACAAAAACACCGTGAAAATCTCGCTGGAAAACAAACCAGTATTGCAAGAGTAGTTTAAGGCCAGGAACAAATTGTTCTTGAACATATAAAGGGAGTTTCGTTCTTCATATAGTCAAGGCTTATAATACGCCCCTGAAAACCTGTATAAAACTACAAAGGCTGACTTTGTATCAACCTTATAACCGGTCTGAACCAAATGTTTCGCAATAGAGGAAAATATATGTTTATCCTGTGATCTTATTTAACCATTGGGATCCATCCGTTTTTCCAGACACTTTGGTATGTGTTCAGCTACCCTTAATTGCAGCTCACGATTACTTTCTATATGTACGTGTTTTTGCACATACATGTAAACTGATAGATGTGAAAGGATGTGATACAATCGCTTACATTCTGTTTGGATTTTTGATGAAATATAGACCTTGACTTTTTTATAACTCTGAGATAAAATGCACAAAATGTCTCATCGACAGCTAACTTAAATCTTTGTTTCATAATAAGACTATTTGAGACACCACTGAATAGTAGGACAAGATAGATTCATTTTTCGGACGCTAAAAATATCATAGGTTTGGTCGTATCGCTACCTTTCCAAAGGTTTCCAAATTTCAATGAATAACCATTATTTACTACTGTTTCAGTCAGTAAAAACAATTTTGTTTTATTTTTTCACTAAATTTCTAATAACAATAAAGATACAACTTAATAAGCTTACAAGATGAAACATAAATTATGCGAAAACGTCAAGAATTTCAAATCCAAATTGTTAGTGCATTTAATATGTAGTCACAAACTTGCCAAGTTTGATCATTTTATTTTACATCAAAGCTCGTTATTAACCTTCAGAATTTCATTTGTTCAGAATCTAGAAATGATTTTTTCAAAGTTAAGTCCAAGAATGATAATTGAAGACTGTGTTGAGATGAACAAACTAATTTTAAGGAATAAATGGAACGAACATATTAAAATTCAGTTAGAAAAAAAGTGAGGTTTTTATTTACAGAAATGGTTAAATATGATTACATATTGTGTTGAAATGATATCCCTTGGGTCTTTTCCAGGTTTTCCCTCAATCTAAAATCAATCAATCTGTAGTGAAGATTAGTTTTATGTTTAGTCGCTTAAAAAATTTCAGGAATTTCTTTTTCAAAGAATATTTAGAAAAAAATAATAATAAAGTGTAATTATTTCACTGATTTTATTGATTTATTTTATCAAATAATCAGTCAATGTTAAGTATCACATTTCAGCTATGCATATATGAAAAAGAAATAGTTTCACTCTAATTGTAAAGAGGATTTTAAAGTATCGCAAATTTTCTAATTAACAATATTGAACTTTAAAATAAGATATAACACTTAAATAATCGTTCTTCAATGAAATAGTTAGTATGTTTTGAGCTAGTAGATATCAAATGTTGAGATGATGAGTCAAGTGAAGCTAGATCACCATGAAAAACTTGGAAACACTAGACAGCCTTTCCGTCCTGTTGTGGGACTCCTCAGCAGCGCGCACCCACGATCCCGCATCGCGAGATTACAACCCAGGACCTTTCGGTCTCGCGTGCGGATGCTTAACCTCTAGATCACCGAGCCGGTGTCCAGTGGTGTTAATGCCTGACTTCAACTAATCCATAAAATTGAGTGAGACATCCGCCATTGTCTTCAGTGAGTTACTATCTCACAACAGACTCGGTTGAACTTTGAGACCGACAGGTCCTAGGTTCGAATCTCGCGAGGTGTGATTGTGGATGCGCACTGCTGAGGAGTCCCACAATAGGACGAAACGGCCATCCAGTGATTTCAGGTTTTCCAGGTTTTCGATTACTCATTTTCTTTCTTACTGTTCTGTTCTATTAAAATGACGAGTCCTTGGAAATACATCCAAGGAGGCCTAAGCATAATGAAGAGTAAAGGAAATCTGAATTCAAAATAGAAAAAAATGCCCACAAAATGACAGTGAGCAGTGGTGTCAAAATATCAAAAACAATTACTAGGCAGTGATGAATTGTTAAGCTGTTTAATTAGAAGACAGTGGAACAACTGGAGGAGCTTTCATGGGTTTTGTTGCTCAGAAGAACTTAAACAAAAGTACAAACTTCGATGTCTATAGAATATAATAAATTCACTAGGTTTCGTTGCCTTCTCTGTAAATACATACAGACTATTAATTTCCGTTAATCCAAAATATTAACATATTTGAAATTTTTGAGTAATGCATTATTATCAGAGGTCAGCAAAATCTTAGAAATTAAAATCATAATGAGAGCTTTAAATTAACGATTTAGAAACAAAATTAAACGAAACTTGTAAACACCAAATAATTTTACTGTTCTTTAACGATAACTCATCGATTAAAAATTTCAGGTAATTTAATATTTTTTACTAACGAAAATTATAAGTTGTGTAAATCTGAGAAAAAAAGCAACGAAATACAATGAATTTATCGTATTCTACAAAAATTCTCATTCTTACTCAAGTGCTCTTCAGTTAGTCTTCAAATGTTATCCATTCTTTTATATTTTCATCAATAGCCTACTATCACTATAATTTTATTGAGTTTCTTAACCTTAAGTCTGCATCTGGCCCCTTTAATCGTTTTTATTAATTTACTTATCTCATGATTATTATATAACTGAAACAAGTTTCTTTCTATTCAATATTTGGATGATAGATTAAATAATGAAAATGGAAATTTAAGAAGACAATTGGAAAATTTACAACTTAAAACTGGACAATTATTAGAAGAAAATATGCGTATGTAACTGAACAGTTTAATTTTATGTATGTGCTTCAAGGTTACTTGTTTATCTTTTTTTTCCTAATTGATAGAATTCTTGTTTTAAATGATTTAATTATAGTCGACCTCTTATCATCATATTAATAGTGAACTAGCTATTAACTAAAAAATAAATTATAACTTTCATTAGTGAAATGATTTTATTTCATCAATAATTTTGTGCAAGTGAATATATTAATCAGACATTGTAATATATCAAACTATTGGTGTTTTATGTTACAATTATACATGGTTTTAGTAATTAGTTAAAATTATTAAATATTAGTTTTGCTAGACCAATGTAAACCAGATCGATAAAATCTATCCATTGCTGAGAAACTCAAACAGTTAAAAAAAAGTGTTTATTCAATTTATGTTAAATGAATAATTCAGAAGATTTGTTTAGATGGTGGTTGGAGGTAGTCGACAGGAAACCCTGGACCCGGATTTCGTGCTACTTGGCACTGGTCAGCAAGGTGTACCTGTAATCTTGAGGGAATTGGTGCTCCATGATGGATTCGATCCCGTGTCACCCAGCTTCACAGTCAGAAACGTTACCACTGAGCTATCCGGGCTGCGACTGACCTCATGTAGGGCTGAGATGTAACCACAATTGATTGAGCATTCGATCTGCACTAAATAAGGACTTGATACGCATGACATTGATCACCACCCAGTGATCAATCAATTGTGAAAAGATTTGTTCATTCCACTAGTGTTGATGTGAAACTAATTTTAAAAGTATCTGTTTGAGAATCAATAAAATATTAAACAGCAGAGTGTATAGGATTAATGGGAATGTACTACTGATTGAATGAATTCCTTTAACTAGGTAGTAGACAATCAATTAAATCTAGTAGAAATTAAAATAATATAGTGATTATATTTATAACGTTGACTCACTCTTAGTTGGAGTATTCGACTTTCAATTAACAAATGGCTAATTTAAACTCCCATTTAACTTTCAAAACGTAAAAGGTATTGCTCAAAAGTCGAGCATATGAGATGAATACATGATCACTAAGTTACAGTATTTGTATTCTATAACTATTGTTTCCTATTTTATTTTGACAAGGAATAATCATTAATTCAATAAAATCACATCCGATCACATTTTTTTTGTGAGAAATAAATCAACACTAACATTACTATCATATGAGGTTATTTCTAAGTGTTGAAATCACTATTTTATCTTTACTGCTAATTTTCACAGTCAGCTTTTGAATTCATTACTATAGTTCAATTGCCTACATAATTTCGATAACATCAATCTCTTATAAGTTCATCTAACTTTTTAAAATTTATGCTTATGGGGATTTTTAGTTTTTATTTTGCTTTTTACTTATGTAACATAACAGTCTAAAGAAGACAATATATAACTATTGATATTGGTGACCGTAAAATGACTACGATATCTTTGACATTTGATAGCCAATCACAATAAAAATAAACTAAATGAACTTGATATTGAAAACTCGAGAACGCATTAGGGTTGTGGTTTCCTTGAAGAATTCATAAATCGTGTCTAAATTTTGTGTACGTTTTGGTTGCATTTATTCCCTATTATTTTTTTCATTAAAAACTAATCGATTTCCAAATGTCATTTAATGAATCGCTCAAGCTCATCCACATTTCTTCGTCCGTCCTGAATTTCGTGTAAACATCAGAGAGCATCCATCTGAAGTCTGATTCGTTTATCCACAAAGCATATCTTCACTCGTCACGAAAACGAATACAAATGAAGATGTACATCTGTCAATCACTATTTCAAAGGGTGTTTCTCGTATATACTCTGAATCTTAACAAGTTGAACTAATATTAAGCGGAAATTAATAATGGAACATAGCATGGATAAATAATATAAAAATATGTTGCATCCTTATCCATACCTTTTCAGTGGTTATAACTTCCATATATCCTTTTACTTAATGTCAAAACACTTGCTCTTTTAAATGTTGAACATCATGTAAGGCTTACTAATTTTATGACTATCACATTTTCTATAGCTGGAACAATCTTTAAGCGTTCACTAAACTGATGTTTTCGTCAAATATGCATTATTCGAAAAACTTAAGATCGAAGTATACTTTTGCATAAACATTGAAAATAATTCTCGGCAGATCACACCAATATTCTGGAAACTTCTAAGGTCTAGTTGGCAAACTTAAAGCCATTCAACTAGAAAAGCTTCTTCAGTAATATCAAAAGATAATAGATATTTCATCTGGTAAATAAATGTAGATGCACAGCTGTAACTGTATTTTACTTGGAATTCATTATAGTTATAATTTAGGCACGAGAAAAATTAATCCATTTCATGTAGCTATATACATATTTCAAAATATTCACTGGAATTTGTTGACCGCTATTTGGAATTGGACCCCTTATTGAAATAAGAAAAGTTCCTAATGGGTTTTATACTCCATGACAAGACTGAGAGTAAATCTATGAGTGATCTTCAACAAGAAATCATGGAATCCCAGATGAGTCAATCTCAGTATGGTTTACACAAATATCTTATACCATCTATTGAGAAATATTTGTAAGGGCTTCTGACAGCATCTAGGTATTTCGACAATAAACAAATTATATTTATCGTTTATTCTAAAATAGTCATAGTATTACTCACAATTTTTATGCCTCATGAAATTGATAATGATCTGTTCGACTAAATCTAAGATTTTCAGTGTTATAAAATGTCAATGAGGTATAAGCTTACAAAAGTAGATGAAATTTCAGCCATATTTTTTACATGTTACTTAATATCAACTTTTTGTTTTTATGTTACGTTAGATCTTCTACAGAAGAATACAATGTTAGTCTGTTCACCTACATATGAAGAAAGAGTAGAAAAATCACCTGAAATAACCGATTCAGATAAAAGTACCAAGTTTTATCTGAATAAAAATTCACTGGAGAAGTTAGCTGATCAAGACGTTCCACTTACATCAGAAGGCATTCTTTATGTACTAGAAAATCAAATTAAATCACAATTTCATGATAAAAGAACGTCATTGCCTGAAATAAAAACAAATATAAAAGATGCTTCTATTTCTCAGAATGGATTTCAATTATTTTTCAGTCGTTTACGTTCATCTAAAATAGATAAGATTTTAAACGTTCAACAGCAACAAGAACGGTCTCATAAATCTTTTTATATTGAAAAAGATAGTCAGTGCGATTTTGATTCATTCATTCATCAAAGTCCCGGTATTCGTGAAATCTCTGTCCCTTTAAAATGTTTGTGTGTAAATGATTCAGATGAAGTTTGTGAATGCGCTCGAACTACTGTTAATGTTCAACGACAACTTTTACAGTATAAGTGCCAGGTATGATTAAATTAATGTGTAGATGTTAGTTGTGTTTACTATTTATTAAATCTATTGAGTATTTACTTTAAAAAAATGAAAACGAGATTCACTTTTCGAAGAAGCCAATACAACTCTTTTTTAATTTACTCATGAGAAATCATATATATATTCCGCTCAATATATACTCGGATTCTAGCCATAAAGATTTTATTTCTCAAAAAAATAAGGGAAATCAATCTTATCCCTATATGTGGTAATTAACGTGCTCTGTTTCTTATTTCGATGGTCCAAACAGCCATTAGATGTCCTCAATAATCAAGTCCTTTACCTGGCTCACCGTTTCACATTTTATCGTTTCAAAATTATACTCGTTTCACACTTATATATCGATTCTGCATTTTGGGGACAAGATAAAATCTTAGATGGATTACTTTTGGTAACTAGAGAAAGTGACTTAATCTACTGACAGAATTGTGCATAAGAAACTGGCATACAACTGCTGCTAAACCATTACTACTATAAATCTCCTTCAATAATTTCGTGAATTTTGCAATAGTTTTTCCCGAGTTTCATTAGAAAACATTCATATCATGTCTTTGTTTGTATATTTACCAAGTAGACCATGTACAAAATTAAAGTGTATTAGACGAAGCTCTCGTTATAATTTAAAATACAAAATACAATGGATCATAAATTAAAATAACAAAGATTTACAATTTATGTAATTTGAAATGAATATAATTTATGACAATCTCTATCCCTAAATCTTATCTAGCTATTCATAGAAAAAAAACCCTGATCATTTAGTTTTCATGATAGCTAAAATATATACAATTAAGTTTGAATTTTTCTTTCTGAGGATAAATACGAAGTTAAAATAGAACTTCATATTTAACTTACAGAATTTATTTAAATCATACCACTATAAATTTTAATAATTGTGGAATAACTGGAAAATCACAACAATGTATAGCCAGATAGTTGATACTGAAATAAACCATCTCTTAATGCTGTAGTTTTTAATACATGAATATGTAAAGATATTCCTTTTTATGGTTAGTTGATCAATGGAAAATAAGTAGAAATTATGTCACACTAAACATCTGGTATTCTATAAAAGTTCACTCGTTCTTTTCCTCTTTAAACTCTGTGCAATTCTTCCAACGATTGTACTTTGCATTAATAGCCTGTTTTTGTTTTGCTAAAACGAATTTTACTTTCCTTCTCAGCTCATTCACTAATTATTTGAGTATGAACCAAACTCAAAGTGTGACGGATAACAATACTAATATCCGGTTGCTCCAGTCGAAATAGGTGGGAGAGAGTTCGAACCTGGGACTTGAGTACCTTGACCGCTATATTACACTCTGTTTTATCACTGGTATCAAAATTAAGAGTCAATTCCTACAGAAACACAGCAGCGAAGCCAAAATAAAACATTAAATTTCGGAGAAATCTATGATAGCTTTTACAAAACGTATTTACTTGAGGACTTGAGTCATTGTTTGGAATGTCCAAACTGTTAAAAAGTTTAACAGTGAAACAAAAACAGCTCAATTCTAATAAGCTTAATATGAATTTTCATGTGGTTGATAATTCAAGGATTGAAATTATCTGCGAATTATTTTCTAAAAAGTAGGTTTATAGGGAAGAAAAATTTGATTCAAATCTAAACTTTATTTCCAAACATTACGATAATCAGTTGTAATGACTTCCGGTATAATTATATATATATATATCTTGAGAGAGACAAAGAGTTGTGTAACAATGGCCACTAATAATAAAATTAGTCAATCAGACGATATTTACAAATTGGGGATTGTGAGCTGTGGAATTTCATAGTTATCCATTACGGACTGGCTTTAGCAAACACTGAACAAAACAGAAGTTCACATTACCATATTTTTTGTTGAAATATTACATTTGTTATCAATGAATTAAATACAGTTGTATTCCTTCATAACTAAGAAGAATGTTAAAAGCAATCATAAGTTATGCATATACATTGTTCAAAGTTTTTTTATAAAATGCTTTCATTATATTTATCAGCTTTCTGAAATGACAAAAAAAATCAAACAACTTGAACTATCTGAAGACGCCCATCGACACGCATTAAAAGAACAATACGAAAGAAACAAACACATGTCTGTTCAACTGACCGGAATTCTCCCATACACATCTGAAGAATTACTGAACTGTAAGTGGCATTTATTAGCATTGGTTAGAAAGGATTTATTAAGGAACTACTCAATTAAGTCAGTGAGTTTGTGAAACTATATAGTTTGAAATCGTTTGGAACTGTTATGGTATAATAAATATGACAACGTTAGGTAAAACTACTAGTTATTGGTTTGAAGTCTGTAGATTTATTTGCTGAAGCCTTGGAAATTTCGAAGTATAGTGATTGCATTGCGCTTACGGAAATAAACTCGTTATATTCACTTTAAACAACAACTGTTATCTCGTTAACTCTTTAGTTTTTTATCGTAGAAGTCATAAGTGTATTAAATCTCAGTCTGTAACGTAGAATGATGCAAAACGGCTGATCTGTACTTTTGAGAAATTTAATGAGTTATTTTGTTAGTCCCATTGACACTTCGAATGAATTTTGCATTTTACAAGGATATTTTTTACCTGCGTAAAAAGTGATTTAAAGTTAAAATACATTAGTTGTATTGCCGCACAATAATATAAGACCTTTCAATCTTATAAAGATGGTGTAGTTTCAACGAGACATTTTAATACTTCTTATAATGGCGAGAAAGTAAATATTGCCGTAAGAAAAATAAAACCACCCTCACTCTTGAACTTCTGTTTGTAGAATATGAAAACGTTGTGCGTTAGATATTGATACTGTTGTTAGCTAGTCTCTGTGGTTTATTTGTCCTATTTTATAGCGTGCTTGTGATGATTGTTGATGCAAAATTGAGGCATTAGTAAGAATGCACGCTACTGATTTACAAAATCATTGAGGTACACATGAAGGATTAAAGGACTGTTGGATACATTTCTTGATACCTACAACTATAAAATGTACCGTACTTTTCCTTTACATAAAACGTAGAAATTTAGATATGCCTTCAAAGATCCATCTGTCAATACATATTACCACTTCAATGATTAGAAGCCATCATTTTGGACGGAAAACATATCCAAGGACGAATAGGCATATAACAGTCATAATTTATACAAAATCAACACAAATATTTTGTGAAATAAGTTACACAAGTTGTTTCCATTTTTAAACAGGATTTATGTTTAAATTGGTTTTGCATATCCGAAATACAATATGATTTACTTGCATTACAACCTAGAAATTTATCCTAGTAACTACCCACTTTTAATTATGTAACACCCAACTGACAATTTCGAGTAGTCCTGTCATTATACATAATCTTTCTTGGAAAAATTAAATTAAGGTCTTTATGAGGACTAATCCAAGTATTGCTTGTGAAAACTATGGTCCTCACATACAAGCACTATTCCTAGATGGTTGGCATGATAAATTTACGTTTTTTCTACTTTCATTTGTCACGATTGTGCAATTAATGTGTTGTGTATGCGGTTGTATTTCTTAATTGCTAAAATCCTAATTTTCTGGGATGAAATTAGTTGTGTTGTCCAAATATATATATGTGATCATTTGTGCTACCTTCTCATGACGAATAATTTCCTGTTAATAGATAGTTATACACTACAAGGTTCCATGGAAATATCGTTCAAAAATCTTTAAAACTACAATATATGCGTCGGCCAAAACTGTTTTGCTAAAAAGAACTTCCGTTTCACATTAGTTTTGTTGTATAATAAAATGGAAAAAGGTCTATATTTCGTTTTAATAGCCGATATCTATTCAGTATGACCTGTTCACTAATAAAAATCAATATTACATAATTTTACATTACAAAGTCGATAATTTTATTTAATAATCGTGTCATACACAACATTATGTTACTGAAGTACTTATCTTCACATATTTACCAACTATTTCGCATTCCATAATGATCATCCTATTTAAATAAATTTGTCTGGTTTAACTATAATAAATCAGAAAATGAAACTAGGTAAAGTGTATAAGCTAATGCTTTTATGAGACATATTTTATGTAGTTTTAAAAAAACATGCAGTTTTGTTTGAAAGATGAAACCATTTAGGGTTTATTAAAATACTCGTAAGATTAATGTTTTACCACACCATAAGATTAAAATATTATCCCGCAGCTTGTTGCGTTAAACTTCAACTAGAAACTGGTAACGCTGTCTATAAAAAACAATAGAAGCTTCTCAAAGAATCCAACACCACCAATGGGGATGTGTAGTCAAATTTGAATGATATTTTAGTGAAGTATGACTGGGGTTACTGGCCACTTGTCCACATTGAAATGCGCTAAAGATTCTCCGGGAGTATCTGAGTTATAGTGCAAGACACACTGAAGTAAAGATATTTATGGATTTTATAAGTGAATATGTCGAAATGAACCGGCATGAAGACCTACTGGGAAGTACTCCGACGTGAGTCGAACCAAGCGGAAAAATATTAAAACGTCATCTTTTCAATCAGAGGAACTCAATTAAATCGTGTACTATACAACTGATGTTTCTACGAGATCTTCCGCCGTCGAAGTACCCATTCTAGCATACGTGATCCAGCAAGTGAACGCAAAGATATGGAAAACCCATTCAGTTGGTTTTAAGCCAAGAAAACCGCCCCCCCAAGAACGAAATTACTCCGAAATCCAAGTCAGTATGTTCATAAAATTTTGAATGTTGGTCTGAATGTGAATGATTTGAAAGCGTTATCTTTTAGCCAGGAGGTTTATGCTAGTTGTATCAGTAATAACAAAGGTTGAAATACACGTTCAGTTCGAAAACGTTCACTCACAATCATCAGATTCGATACATTCGACTGACGAATATTTAGAGAAACGTGAGTCTACTTTACTTACTTACGCCTGTTACTCTCAATGGAGCATAGGCCCCCGACCAGCATTCTCCAACCCACTCTGTTCTGGGCCTTCTTTTCTAGTTTCATCCAATTCTTGTTCATTTTTCTCACATCTATCTCCATTTCCCGGCGTAATGTGTTCTTTGGTCTTCCTCTTCTCCTTTGGCTTTGAGGATTCCATGTAGGGGCTTGTCTTGTGACGCAGTTGGGTGCTTTCCTCAATGTGTGTCCTATCCACTTCCAGCGCTTCTTCCTGATGTCTCCCTCTGCTGAAATCTGGTTTGTTCTCTTCCACAGTTGCTTGTTGCTAATAGTGTCCGGCCAACGGATCCGAAGTATTTTGCGTAGACAACTGTTAATAAACACCTGTATCTTCTGGATGATGGCTTTCGTAGTTCTTCAGGTTTCCGCCCCGTACAGTAGAACTGTCTTGACATTTGTATTGAAAATTCTGACCTTGGTGTTGGTTGATAGACAGTTGGTTTGAGTTCCAGATGTTCCTCAGTTGTAAATATGCTGCTCTTGCTTTACCGATCCGCGCTTTCACATCTGCATCAGATCCACTGTGTTCATCAATGATGCTGCCCAAATATGTAAAGGTTATTACATCTTCCAATTCTTCTCCGTCAAGTGTGACTGGATCGGTGCATTCTGTGTTGTATCGGAGAATCTTGCTTTTCCCTTTGTGTATATTGAGACCTACTGCTGCTGCTGCTACACTGGTCGTTTTCTCTTGAATTTGTTGTTGCGATTGCGATAGGAAGGTCGGATCATCTGCGAAGTCTAGATTGTCCAGTTGCATCCTATATGTCCACTGCATCCCGCGTTTCCCTTCAGATGTTTACATCTTTATGATGCAGTCTATCAACAGAAGAGGGGGAAAGGGTGAGAGTAGGCAACCTTGCCTGACACCGGTCTCTAATTCGAACGAGTTTGTCAACTGTCCTTCATGCACGATTTTGCAGTTTAATCCATCATAGGAACTCTGTATGATATTGACTATTTTTTGAGGCACGCCGTAGTGTCGAAGAAGCTTCCATAGTGTTGTCCTATCCACTCTGTCAAATGCTTTTTATTAGTCAATGAAGTTGATGTAGAGTGATGAATTCCATTCAATTGATTGTTCCACACTGATAAATAGTGTTCCGATTTAGTCTGTACATGATCAATTCTCACTGAATTCTGCCTGTTGGTCTCGAAGTTGGGAATCTGCAGAGTACTTCATTCTGTTTAACAATACCCTGTTGAAGACTTGTCCTGGTATTGAGAGAAGAGTGATGCCCTTGTAGTTATCACAGTTGCTGAGATCGCCGTTCTTTGATATTTTGTTCAGAAGTCCTTCTTTCCAGTCTGTTGGTAGTTGTTTCTCATCCCAAATCTTATTGAAGAGAATGTGGAGTATCCTTGCACTTGCCGCTACGTCTGCTTTCAGTGTCTCTGCTGGAATGTTGTCTGGTCCTTCTGCTTTGCCACTATTGATTTGTTTGATCGCCATGCTGATTTCTTCAATTGTTGGTGGGCCAACATTGGTTGGGAGGTCCGTGGGTGCTGCTTCGATATTGGGTGGGTTCAGTGGGGCTGGTCGATTCAAGAGTTCTTTGAAGTGTTCTATTCACCTGTGAGTCTACTTTATCGGATTGTTATTATAACGATGCAAACTGTAAGTAACCTAATAATTGTGATTCTAGTAATTAACTAACCTGAGACGGCATCAGTATTTCTTACAGACAAAAACAGTATATATCGAAAAGTTGCATACACTAGTCGGTGTCCATCGTAAATTTCAATTCTTTTCTGAAAATGACCACATAGAAAATTCAGGGTAACAAGTGACACAATGACCAAATAGCTTGCAAGAAACATGTTTAATTTACCACGAATTTTATGTAACTCTCTGTCCAACTGGTACGGTGAAATCCAAACATTTTCGTACGTCAAAAGTATACAAACGCGGCTTAACATTTCGTCTATTACTCGATATGTTAAATTTATCTTACCATGAATAACAGAACTCATAAAGCCACTATGCAAAATACTCGTAGAATGTAAAACATGGATTTGAGTTGATCGATAGAATTAGAATTTTTAAGGTGAACAAGAAATTCATGTAATCACTTGTTTTTTTTTTATTTCTATTCACGAAAATGCTGCTATTGATAAAAGCTGTTGATTTCATATGTGGTAAGTTGTAAAATTGAGGTATGCAAATTGGCATACTCTTTTTCTCTTTAGAAAAAAATGGACATGGTAATGTGTCGTACTTACGTGGCTTAAAAAATAAGCACATTAAAAATAAACTATACTTAAGATCTAAACTTTATTCTTCTTTCCATGATAAATACAACATTGACATAACTTTCATAATTTATTTGTAAAAAACAATTTATTGTCATTTCCTTTATTTTCATTTTGTTTTATTTCTTCGCTATAATTCAAGCTCCAAATTGTGCATTATCTTCTCAATGTTCACCAACAGTAAGGAAATCACTCAGAAAATTCGATTCTAGAAAAAATAAATCAACAATTTCACAAACATTATCCTCTACAGAATCGTTTCAGAATTTATTATTATGGTTTCATAAAATTTTAAAATCAACTTCAATTTCATTGAAAAGTTTATCCTCGTCTGATAATCAATTAATATTTGATCAAGATAAAAATAGTTATAGTGTCATGGAATCTATACACCCTAAATCGAAATCTCCAACATATATTAAAATGTCTACTGGTAATTCTATGTCGGAATGTTTAACACTATACAATGAATCAAATCGATGTCAATATGATAAAAATGCTTCAATAGATGGAATTAATAAATTACGTGATGTTTCAAATAAAGAACAAATTAGTTTTGCTACAAAACGAAAAATAAGTTTGAAAAACGTTAAGTCTACATGCAATTCTATGCTATCACAATTAGACGATCTAACTATAAGTGATAAACTTATTACTTCAGATAATCATATAAAGGGAATAAATGATGAACCGATTGTACAAAATCAAACAGTTTATCCACGTAAAGTAAGTTCATTTTTAAAAGGAAATAACTATTAATATGCTCAGAAAAAAAATTTCAAGGAGAATCCAGTCAGCGAAATGAATCATCATAGTGTAAATTATAAACCAATTGATATAGCTAAGTAGTACTAGATAACTGGCTTTTCCACAACTTTATTTCCTTATAAATAAAATTTGTTCCAAAAAAGAACAAAGGATGATTAAAATTTGTTTTATATATTGCTTGAACTGCAAAATTGATTATATTGTCATCGATTCTAGTAAAGTAAACAGCAGAATACAACAAAACACTTTAAACATACTTTCCATTTCCTTGTGTAAGTTGTCAAATATTTAAAGATTAGATGTATACAGGTTTGATCAAGATGTAAAGAAAGATACACTAAATAAATCTCATTTCAATTTATATAAACTTTTGTTATAATGTACGCTGTTTCAATCAGCAGTTTCATTTTCAGAGTCGACTTCTTATGTGATAAATTGTGTACATTTTTACTGCCAATCAGTTTTCTGATCGGAAATTCTCACCAGTTATTTGAATATCAATGTAAAACGAAAACATGTTACAGACCAGTAGAAAACTAACGGCGAAGAACTTTCCAATAATTTTGTGTATGTATGTCGATATACTATTGTAAACAAAATGTCAAACTTTGAATATAACAGACTTTGAGAACGGTAATAACGCCCTAAAGAAATGATAAGAATTACAACATGTCAACCCGAAAAAAATAATAGATAAAGTGAATACTTGCCAACAAATACGATCTGTAAAATAATGAAGATTTTGATAATTAATTTCACAATGAGTTGCGTGAATGTTATTAGTTTTAATCCCATTAGTTATAATTACAAATTCTCTTTAGATTTCCAGATCATCTTCTATTCATGCAAAACAACTTAAGTCTCGATGTCGATCAATGGAACATGTTTCATCGCCGAAATTTTCTGAGGATGAAAATATAAATACCATGTTACTGTATCAGCTTTTACTTCAGGTAAATTGTTTTTAACAGATCAATTTATATACTACTCGTCGCCCAGTAGATTAACAAACTTCTACTCACTGAATTTTCATAAATAACTATTACCTGGTTCAAATTTGAAGAGGAATTTCACGTTGTAATTGTATATTCGAAATGGTATCATTGTGAATAATGTTCAGCGATAGCAAAAAAGGGGTGTGCCTAAGTATTTTCCTTTGTTTTCTAAAAAAACATTTTTCTTCGTAGTTGTAGATACAGCGTACACAGCACTTCAATTTTTGCAATTTTATCACAAATTAACTAACACAATCGCTGTAGTAGTCCAGTATTATATCACAGTTATGAGAAATACGTTGCAAATATATGATGGTCAGAAGTATACTTGTTTAGAAATGTCCGTAATTTGACTAGAAAGGAGATAGCTGAACATGAATAAAAGCCAGAAACCTTCATAGAATATTTCAGTCTTGCTATAAGTTTATTAAGGCACTTAAATATAATAAAAATACGACAGATAGTTTTGAAATATATATGAAATTAAACCATAAAATAACCCACTTAGAACGGGTACGCACTTTTTTATCCTGACAAAAATATTATAAACTGATCAGTATATGAGTTGGTACACATTCACAATTTATATAAAGCACCCCACTAATCTACATCACAGGTAGGATTAAAGAAGATGACCTCATGTATGTATCACTTTATAATATTCCTATTGCTAAAAATTAACTTCTACAAAAGTGACTCCTTCATGCGTCCTCTTAATAACTATGAAGCTTATGGTAAGGATGAATATACTAATTTCTGTTACCTTAATTTTTACTGAAAGGTTGTGTATTCTAATGTGCTAACTAGCTGAAATGAGGAAAACCTACCGATTGATAGTAAACATATAGGATTAAAAGCTGAGTCAATAACACTGGTGACTACATCGCAAATCCATCAATAGAATTAGATAAGCTCATAGAAATAGATTTATATGACATTAGTTTTTTTACTCAATAACACTCTATCCTAAAACTTAAACCATCTATAAAAGTTCCTAAGGATCTAGTTTTTTTCTGGTACCACGTAAAAATATTCGTTTTATCTCAAGGTTTTCCCAAAAATATATTTAGTAGTTTATCCAGTCACTTTTGATAGTGCACTTCATTGAATACGCTTTACCACTTATATTTCGGCAATGAATAAAGTAGGTATGTACCCATTCATCTCATTAATGAGATAAACGTAGTTCGAAATGGAGGAATCTGATATGTTTCAGTCCGAGATATAAAATCTTTTCAAATATAGCTAGCACCACGTAAAATAACTTCTTTTTAAAATTAGCGTTTCAACGAGTTTTAGAATAGAATTTTTCCCTATTTATTCAAATATATAGATGAAAAATGTTGCAGAACTTATTGAGAAACAAAACCTAATATGTGATAAACGTGTTCGCCGTTCATCTTCGGTCGTTACATGAAATTATTAACAAGCAATGCAGTTGGTTTCCTTCTCTAATGAAAAGCGATTAACAAGTAGTTCCCCATTACTTAACTTCTGCAAGACTTTATGTATATTACTTCATTATTTGCTAATAAATGTGTTCCTTATTCTTGACTCACTTAGTCCTAAACATTTTTTGCATGATTCTCATATTTGCAATTGACTTGACATTTTATCATTTATTCTTGCAGATTTGATTCTCTTATGTAGAAATGATTTTAGCATGTATTTTTATATTATTCCACATGTTAATTTCATTAAGGTGGTATTAAATCCCTTAAGATGATATGGTAATTCAGTGGTGAATGTATTACTTCACGAATCTACAATTTATTGACATTTCGCGTGCATGTGCAAATTCTAAATATGTGCATCTACTGAATACTTTTAAGTAGTATATAGTTATTTAAAACAAAACATGTACAGGTTCGTATACTATTTTAAATCAGTACAGTAAAAGGAAGTGACTAAGAGGAAGAATAACAGTAGCGGAAAAAATAGGAAGAGGAGGAATTACTGGATAATTCTAAATTTCGTGGAATCACTTTAACACAGTAAGAATATAACGGACGATTCAATTGATCAACGTCAAGAAAATCATTAACAATTATGTGCAATAAACAGGCAACTCAGAAAAAAGATACAAATTATTATTGAAAACTCTGAAACAAACTTCGTCAGGTGAAAGTATCGATAACTGCCTGATCATAGATTAAATACTTCAAAATCTGGATCTTCATTAATTTGTGTATTCAGAGATTTGTACGAAATGATTATGTACAAATATTTCTAAATTGTTTGAGGAAATAATTGTTGACGCTTCATAATTTCTTGCTTTAAAACCATCATGATGTTAACTTCAATGCGATCATCTTCATAATAAATTATCTAGAATAAAGTACTGATCACATACACATAATAATCCTTTTTAGTAATAATTGCTTTAAATAATTCAGCCCACACAAATTTCATTACATCTTATAATTCTAACCAAAATAAACCTCACTATGGACTGATGCATGGAAATATTTGTTTCTGAAGAAAATCATATTTTAAACTTTAAGGTACAGCATAACTAGGTGTAACTTAAACTGATAATACTGCAAAACTGGACGTACAATAAATAGTTCTGAAGTTACAAATCAAACTGGTCAATCAGTTGTGGCAAACTCAAAATTTAGGTAAAAAAAAACCCAGTGCATCCGACTGCTCAGACTGATTTTAAACCACGTTATCTAAAATTCCCTACGACAGACTATGACAACCCTGCCTAGCAGAACGAGGAAGCCTGAACCTCTTGACATGTTCCAGATCAATAAGTAATGATTTCATGTACTGATGATATACCATAGTCTATCCATAGTCTTCTAGTTTAACCTCATCTTAGCCAGTATAATAAGTCGAAATAAATAGTTTATTGGTATATGTATCATAAAATACATGTTAAATACAATAAAAGCTTGGATATAGATTCAAGAACTGTAAATAGAATTCCTTCGACTGAAACACATCACTCCGTAAAAATAATACCGCCTTAACATTGATTTTTGGGCTTTTTGAAACAGAGAGATTGTCGTTACTGTTTTAAACTATGACAGATATGAAATTGTTGAAAAATAGATCGATAATTACTTGTTTAGTACTTACTATATATAAATGTTAGCATGAATTTCAAACACTTTTGTTTTTAATAATCAGGTCAACAAAGCAAAATAAGAAACCTGAAAATGAATTTATTTTTTCTATACCTGAAAGTAAATTATTTTGTACAGAAAATTGAGTTCATTTTAATGGTTTGTTAATGCCGTCAGAGCATAAAAGAATGCAGGCATAATGAGTATAAAAATAATGACATGAAATCAGCTTTTCTCAGTGTATAGAGAAGATCACTGCGCAGGTTAATTGAGGTTCCACTAATTCACTCACAAAAATTTATAGGAAATAAAATTTTAAGATGTTTGCTGTTGAGTAGTCAATGTATAAGGAATTATAACTCCTTTTAAAGCAGTTAGTTCACGAATTATCTGTAGAAGTGAAATAGCAGTATCTTCAACAGACATTCTAGCTGCACATGGGACATGTATGAAAACAACTCGATCAGGTGAATATTCCAGTGATCTATATAAAACAACAGGATGAATTGATAGAAGTAATAACGGATAGAACTAACTTGTAGTATATATAGCCACATAAAAACCTGCCTGGATCATTTGAAATTGAACAAGGGATATGATTATCCACTAGTTTACTGTATGCTTTACTCAAATTCATGTTACAATAAAGGATTGGTTCACCATGAATATTAACACAACCATTATTTCCACAATAAGCGCCATCCATATCTGGTTTATCGTAACCACTATTATATGACAGAGTTTCCAAAATTGGCATCGTCACACTGGCGTCCATACCGACATGTATCACTAAATCCTAATGGAAATCAATAAGTTAGACAGATAATACCTAAAAACTATCTTATTCTGTTGGTATTAAAAACATTGACTGATAAGAACTAAACACAACGTAAAGTACGAGACTTTGTAATTAAAGACCATTAAGCCAATACTTTACACATATTCTCCACATGACGAAATACTCCATAACATGTGAATACATTTTGGTCTGATATAGTTACCACTCCTTTCAAAAAGATTTAAATATCAGTTAAGATTGAAAGGACGAAAGAGTGGCAATTTTGAGTTGAATTCCTACTAGACAGCACGTTGAGGGACGTGACCTAATAGCATGAAGTATCGGTGTAAAATATGCTGGATACCAATTTAGTTGACTGCCTATAGAGGTCTACATTACTGATTTCAGATATTAAATTAAAAAATCCAAAAATAATTATAACCACTTTCCATGTTCTTCAAAAACACCATGTTAAGACATGCCTAAAACCTTCCATTCGATTTTATGGGATTATATGAATATAAAAATGCTCTCTAGGTACTTTGAATTCAAACCATTATCAAGTGAGATGGTTGAAAGTATATATGCCCAGTCACTGCCTACTTCAACTTGCTTAGAATGGACGTCGGCTGGAAAAGTGATAAGTGTAACCAAATAGAGACATTTAATTAACAATGGTAATAATGCATTTCAATATACTATATTGTCAGGAAATACTTAAAAATATGAGAACAATGATACTCCTAAGATCTTTTTTTAAAATTGATCGATCACTGAGCAGCGATCAATGTCATGTATGTGAAGTCTTTCTTTAGTGCTGATCAAATTCTGTCTATAAAGTTGCAATGAGGCTACAAATCTAAGTGACTCGATAATCACATGCATTATGTTGAGATGTATGATAGTGGCTGGAGGTGGTCGACATGATATCCTAGATTTTGCGCTATTTAGCACTCGTTAGCAAAGTGTTACCTAGTAGTGGGTAAACGAAAACCAAGACATTGCCTCGAAGCAACGAAAAAATATATACACTACATATCATCGACACTTCCAGTTATCACATCTAAAAATGGTCACATTAAAAATCACACCATTTTGATTTATTGGTAAGAAACAGCAGAAAGAAAATGGGCTTTTAAAATAAAGAAGAAACTAGCAACCTATATTCCACTGAAATCGCGCAATTAATAAGATCACAAAGATTAGCTTAAATCAGCTGCATAAAATCTTCAGCTTATACAAAGGTATTTTACTTACAGGGTTTTCTTTCCAGATAGAATTAACGCATTGGTCAACAGCTTTATACGTAACAGGAACATTCTCTATTGTGTGTAGTTTTATACCAGTACAAGCATCAGTATAAGTTTTATTCCAAATTTGTCTCAAACGATTAACAGCCAACGAACTAGAATTGTATTCGCAACTTCCATAAAGCCCAAAACCAGTGATAATTATGTGCATTCAAGTTTAAAACTTACATGAAAGGGAAGAATTAGAATAAGATAAACTAGTGAACTATTCAAAGAATTTTGTACAAACACTAACTTTACTTAGCTTACTGTTCCATACAATACATCAAAACTTTAATGTGCGGTGCATCAACCAGTCAGCAACAAAATAGAACTTCGTAAGTACCTACATCAGCTCAAGCTGCCATGACAGATTAGCACAGAGATACAATTGTCGATTCAAACCTCATAGTGGTAGAGGTAGTAAAAGTATAGGAATTAATCGGAAAGATTAGGGTTTGAAGATGTTATTCAAGGAGTATAATCCAGTGAAACAAATTTGGAAAGAGACAAAAATGGACATGAAGAATTCAGAAAACTAGAATTTGGGAGAACACGAAGAGTGAATCCACCTGCGCCATTGCAAACGACTTTGAGCCATGTCATTCAAGGTCTCTAACCATAGGTTACTATCGTCTCGCGGATCCTAACCAGGTAGTCTACATTTACTAACATGGCTCAGTCCACTTGTCAGTGACTTCATGGACTTGTGCCATGTTTTAGTCTGGCCGCCTTTAGCCTTCTTCCAACCTACTCCTATACCATTGAGCATCGCACGTCGAGGCAGTCGGTGGTTGGGCATACGTAACACGTATCCCAGCCATCTCAACTGTTGAAGTTTCACTACTTCATCAATTGATTTGCCACCCTTACCTAGTACCCGTTTCCTAACAACTACGTTACTTACTTGATGATCCCAGGATATACGGGAAGTGCTTCAAAGACACCTATGAATATCCTCTACTCTTACCGGCCATGTTTCACAGCCATAAAGTAGAACAAAGCGAACTGCTGCGCAGTAAACACGTCCTTTGGTTGGTAGACGGATATCTCGCCTACGCCACAAATGAAACAAGTTGGCAAAAGCTAGTCGAGCCTTCTGTATCCGTGCAGAGATTTCGTCACACACAAGACCACAAAGGCTGATAAGACTCCCAAGTGAAGCAGTCGACGCGCTCAACTACTTCACTCCTTATCATTAGTTCAGGTGCCGATGCAACTCAATCCTGAAGTAACATTTTGCATTTTGAGGGAGAGGATTGCATCCCGAATCTGTTTACATTGTTGTTTACAGTGGTCAGAAGGCTGCATTTTGTCAGCGTCTTCACTAAATAGAACTAGATCATCGACAAATGTCGAGACAAAAAGAATGACATCCCGCAATGTTTGGGGAAACATTGGGGAAACTCAAAATTTCCACAAAACTTTGGGATCTTCTCCAGACCTGGGGAAATTTCGGGGTTTTCGTGCCGTTTCCCCCAAATAGGGAGACTGGAAAGCAACTTTTATACGTGCACAATATAAATATGCGCTCCTCTGTTTGCGAATCCCGTGATAGTGGAACTTCTGAAGTCATTATCTGTGAGCTTACTATAGAATGTTGTACATTTATACTCGGTGTAATCTATCGCAGCCTAATCTGCTTAGCTGATGATTTTATTTTAGAGCACATTCAGCTAGGAAGTGCAAATAACAGATGCTTGATATTAGGAGACATTAATGCACCTGATATTCGCTGGACTGAGATAACCACGGAAGGATCTATAAACTCCTTTGATAGTAGGTTCCTGATAACATAAATGGAGCATGCGTTAGTACAGCATGTATCCAAACTCAAACCAAGGTTCTTCTCTGTTGGACTTGGTAACCACTCATGAGACTGGGGATATTGCCAACCTAAATATTCTTTCACCGTTAGTGAATAGCGATCACGCTGTTTTGTCGTTCATGTTTAGAGCTAGTGACATGATATGCAATCAAGTTAAGCCTCAACTAAATGTATGGAGATTTAACATAGCCATTCAGGAGTGCTCTGCTAAGACAGATTGGTCAGCAGATACTAGCTAATCACTTGGAGCAGAATGGTCTACATTTAAAGGCAAGTTTAGTTCAGATACGTCTTTGTCTCTACCATGACTAGTACCACGTAGACCGAATAACCGTTCACCATGGATAACTAAACAAGTCAAGAAATATATTAGACACAGAAAAAAGCACTGGGAAATGTTCATCTCTACTGGCTTAGAACAGCACAGATCCAGTTCTTGTAACATTAGGAAGGCTTTTAAAGCGTTAATAAGTAAGACTAGACAGTCATATAAAAAACAATTGGTTAGGGATTGTAAATATAGTCCGAAACGGCTATTCTCGTACATAAAACGGAGAACTCAGAGAAGCGATGAAATTCCATTACTTAGGATGCGAGAGAATCCGTTAGTATTGGTAAGAAATGATGCTGAAAAAGCTGATGCTTTATCGGATTATTTCAGTAAAGTGTCTTCTATCAGTAACGAGGAAAGACCAACGATTTATTGTTGATGAACCCTGTAGTTATTGAGAAAGATAATGTCTTAAGACTACTTCATCATCTCAAACCTAAGTCCAGTGGTCCTAATGATAATAATCCTAAGATTATGAAAGGCCTATCAGATGTAATTGCTGAGCCTTCAGCGATACTGTTTAATATGTCTCTGAGGTAGTTCAGAGTGCCTAGAGACTGAAAAGACGTGATAATTAGTCCGCTTTATAAGACAGGAAGCAGAAATCTAGTTAGTAACCACCGGCCCGTTAGCTTAACTACTGTAGTTGTAAAACTAATGGGAAAAAATCATCCGGATAGCTGTTATAAACTATGCAGAAAGGCATGATCTTTTATCCAGAGGAGCAACATGTTTTTCGGAGAGGCCTATCATGCTTGACAAATCTTCTCATTGCAAGAGAAGGTTGGGCTGCGGCAAAAGATTAGAATATTTCTGTAGATATGATCTTCATAGATCTAAGTAAGGCCTTAGATAAGGTATCCCATTCTGGTCTTAAATTCAAACTGGAACGTTTTGGAATCCATTATGAAGTCGTAGGTTGGATAAGTCACTTTCTCCATGACAGGAGACAAAGAGTAAAGGTAAACGGAGCTCTCTCATCGTGGGAACCTGTAAAAAGTGGAGTTCTCCAAGACACAACCCTGGGTCCTTTTCTCTTTTTACTTTATGTAAATGAATTACCAACTGTAGCAAAACCACCCGTTCTACACTTCGCCGATGACATAAAGATTTGAAAACCCCTGCACAGCATGTCAGATAGAATAGTAATACAGGATGGTCGCAGCTCATTGGTGGCATGGATGAACAGGTGGTCACTAGGAGTAAATCCTAAAAAGAGTGTGATGATGCAGCTAAATAACAATAATGATTCGTATCACTACACAATATGTGGGTCCGTGCTACCCAAAGTAAGAAACTATAAAGATTTAGGAGTGATACTGAGCAGTGATCTCAAAACTGCGAGCCACTGTAAGGCTGCTACAAACGGCTATAGTGCATTACAATTTGTTCGTAGGTCTTTCCAGTATTTGGACGATGAAATGTGCAGATTATTATCCCTGACTTTCATGTGACCGCATGTGGAATATTGTTTTAAGTATGAAGCCCATATGCTGGAACGAGTCCAACGACGAGGAACAGACTGAGACAACTAAACTTATTTCCATTATCTTACCAAAGAACATATGTTGATGTAATATTGATCTAACATCGTACACCGAACGATGACATTGGTATTAATATGTCTTGTATTTTCCTTCCGTCTAGGACTGATCATTTGAGAGTACATTCGAAGAAATTTCAAAAACCAAGATCGAATTGTTTATGTCTGGAGTTTCGTTTATCGCACCGAGTAGTGAATTAGTGGAAGTCTCTATCAGAACACGTAATATCAGCACCTTCTGCCGATATATTCAAAACAAGATTGGACCTCCACAGTGTTACAAACTGCAAGGATTATTATAGGTTGGTAGAACACCTATCCTTATTATTGAAGACTACAGAAAATGTATATACAATATGTGTTGCGAAATAAAACCCATAATCAAAAATATATTCCGTATTGAACTGTGCCTAACATCAACTAGACCTCTTAAATTACATTACCTGAGGTAAGACCCCCAGCCTTTAACAAAAACGTATTTCTATAACAAAGTAGTTACTTGGGTGAGCGATAACACAAACGTGACCTTGAAGGAGAGGTAGCTGATTTCAAATTCACCACAGCATTTGCTTTAGGAAGGTAAAAAAATCAGGTTCGTTCAAAGCCGCCTGTCGTTTCGTTTGAACGCCTAATTTCTTCAACCTGCATTTTATAAACAACCGACAACATCCATGTTTATAATCACCCTAATTATGGAGGTGAGTCAAGTGTAAAGTGTTTTAGAGCTCATATTTGCTTAGAAACCTGACTATGGTCCATTTCTGACTTTATTAATGGTGTATTTCACTTGCTTGAGTTTGCTTTATTAAAAATAACCACATCAGGTTAACTAAACATTCATCCAGGTTGTGAGCAACAACTACGTCAAACTGCCAATAAACTAGAATAAAAGCTAAGTCATAAGCTTAAACATTACGAAAACTGACGTGTGGCGGAAAATACACTGTTAATAGCTGGTAAATAATGACATCCGAAGTCCTCGACAACATGTAACGTGTGCACGAAAACCAGTTGTCCGACTTCTTCACCGTCCCATTTACTTCCGTACTGTAATATGATCTGATAACTAGCAGTAAGCGGGATGAAACAGAGTAGCTTGAAACAATATGAATCTGAAATGAGAGAAATTATTTTATACGCATAAGAGGAAGATTTTATGTATTTTCAGAAGAATATAGGCGAAAATTCAGCTGGTAAAGATAGTTTGCAAACCACATTCAGTGGCTTTTAATAAACTTGAGGGGTTTTTGAAAGGAGATTATTTTTCTTTCGTATGAATAGGATAACATTCAAGTTGTTATTTGTGACTGTAAAACAGTGATTCTTCTGTGAAAATGTGGCACTATTCAAATCTATTACTTTGACGTCGAGTTTAATTTTTCATCTTCATCAGAACTACATGTTCTGTCACCTGGAGTTCCTGAAGGCAAAGAATCAAAGTATTCAAGTGAAGTCATAATCGGTGTAGAAGACACACAGAGAACCATTTTAGGGAAGTCTACTTGGCGCTAGACTTTTTCTCTTTGTTAGAATCAATTCAAACTACTTTTCTGTGGAGATGACGAGACTGTATGTATAAGTGTTCTCTTTAACTAGATACTTCAACAATAAACTGTCGTTTGTAGGATATTTTTCGATTATGATCGAATGAAAAAGACTTTAAATTCACGCTATGCTTTTCTGATTTCCATTGCA